TTATTTTTTATGGTTAGATAGTCCAATAAGTCCTCTGTCCAATGATACCACGTAGGTTATGTAACTCTCATGCATGACTGAGCATGATTCAACTTAGTGAATGGGTGTGAAATCATCACTGTGGCAAGTTAGAATTGCACTTTGATTGGAAGTTCATCAATCAAATGACATAGGAAATGTCTGATTTCTTACGAGCATAGCTTAGGGATGTGTACCCTCGACATGACCGCCATTCCTTTCGATGCAAAGCTCGCAACGCCTCCTCATGTCCCTGACAGCACGCCTGATCATTCCCTGACAATAGCGAGAAATAACTTGCCACAGTGATGATTTCACACCCATTCACTAAGTTGAATCATGCTCAGTCATGCATGAGAGTTAGATAACCTAAGTGATATAATTGGACAGAGGACTTATTGGACTATCTAACCATGAAAAAATAATGTGTAAATATTTTATAGTTTTCTGAAAATTTGCCGTTGAAGTTGGGTTTACTTTTTTTAGAGACACACTGTATAATGAGGACACAAAAAAGCAAAATAGTACTCGCCTTGTCTGTACAATTCAAGCTTGAAAAAAAAACCCAAAAAAACACCACCAAAAAAAAAAAACCCGCGTCGCCACATCAATTCTGGAACTTCGGTCTGACCAAAGACCGATTTTTTTTTTTTTTGGCCTTAGAAAGCTTCTTGAAATTTTTTCTTTACCGCATGGTTGAGACCAGGGTGCACTGCATGTCATTGGTGGAAAGCAATAAGCAGAAATAGGTACTTTAATAACTAAATTAATGGGCAATTTACTAAATTGATCAATTTCACTGAAGAGGGAAGGGTTCGGTCAGACGACAATGCAGGGCTGGGCAGGCTTAAAATTTATGCATTTTAAAAATTGTCTTTTTTGGGTATTCATTTTTTTTCCCAATCCGTATGGTAGGTTGGCTGTCGGTATAGGATGACATTAAGATGGGCATGTTGGCTAAATTTTCACATTTGCCAGCAGCCCACACCACCAAAACAGCCTCTAAGTGGGTCAATTTTGAAGAGTTTTGCCCGACACAGAGTTGTAATGACTCGAGTCAATGACTCGACTCAAGTCACAATTTTTGGCGACTCGAGTCCCTAAGGGCAAATGACTCGACTCGAGTCGCTCATCAGAATGACTCGACTCGACTCAAGGAAGGCTTATAACACTCGAGTCCTAAAAAACAAAAGCAAAACATTGCGAAAAATATTTGCAATGACTTACACCGGGCCTAGTGCCGTTTTTTGTTCACATACGTCACGTTAGAATGTTCGCGAATAATATACATGGTTTGATCAGTTTCCCCATTAGTTCAATGGCGATCAGCTGGTACCCCCTTTTTATTTTCATTAAGAGTTGAATGTGGTGTCACCACTTGTAGTAGCCCGAATGTAAAATTATAAAATCCCAAAAATGACTTTCTCTCTTGTGTTTATTTATACTGTATTGTATAGTGTTAAAATATTTGTGACTCGAATTGACTTGAGCTAAATACTTGACTCGACTCAACTCGAGTGGACTGCACACTGTGACTCAACTCGACTCGACTCGACTCAACCTTCTTGACCTAATGAATCAACTCGACTCGAGTCACTTCTTTAACATGCCTCGACTCGACTCGACTCGAGTAAAAAATATCAGTGACTCGTTACAACTCTGGCCTGACATCAAGACAGGGCTATGCAGGCTAACATAATAACAACAACAACAATTTACTTAAACACCTACAATAATTGCTTCACATCGACAAAAAAAATGTCAAGTTCTTAATTTGTTCATCCCCACAAAAAAATGTAAGAAGCGCAAAGTTGATTTACTATTTTTCCACCTCCGCAGCTAAATGCACCGGTCCAGTGTTTATTGTGTAATTCTGTTCTCTTTGCTTGCGTAAGAAAATTTCATGAATACTGAATACGTGCACTTGGAGAATTGTAAAACTGCATTTTAAGCATGTGTGTTTCTTTTATTTTTTTTATATATTTTTTGGCTGATGGTGTGTTTTGACTTGAATAAAACCAAGAGTTCTTCTGTTTTGGAAAACATGAGATATTTTCATTTCTTTTGAATGTTGGTGCAATTCGACAAAGGGGAAATGTACTTCAGATTTGGCCATGTAACTCACGAAAACTGTTATTTCAGCTAATATTTGTGAGGCCAAAATTTCAAAAATTCTGGCAATTTTTTTTGTGCTGAAATAGCTGTAACATCAAAGTTTCTGCCTGAAATGACATCACGCTTTTGCTCACGAATATGGACATTTGCATTAGTATAAAAACCAAAATGCCACCAAAATACCCTTGAAAATTGCACAATGAAAATTGAAAACAAGCTTTACTGGGTAAAAGGTGCATTTTCAAGGACTGCATTAAAAAAAATCACTTACATGGGCCCTTTATAAAGCATAATGGGATGAACGCCTATACATCATTCAGATTTTAATTTATCTCTTTTGGTCAATCATTGCAAGCAATGGCACACACCACCTACGTAAGTTCACTTTCCTCTGGTTCTTGGCTTTTGTTGTGTCAATCATTGCCAATCTTGTCCGCAGTTCACAGCGTTGTTGTTGTCCAGTTCATTTTCATGAGTTATGACTACTGGTACGAGCGCTTTTTCAAAAAATATGAATACGACGAGTCGCAGTTCATTTCTGTCCACCAGTACATGTACAAGTTCAAGTAAAATGCAAACTGCACAGGTACTTTGCAATGATTTGGAGTACGAGTACGGGGTTGAAAAACAAATTGTTTTTGCAAATGTACAAGTTTGAGAACCATTTGAAGAGTGCCAAGTTTGAGTACAAGTACGAGTGCGCGATCTGGTATGAGATCTACAACATTGATTGTTCAGACTGCAGGTTTCTTGCAGACTGCGGCGAACTGCGCAGAGCAGGAGTAATCATGCCAGCCAGACGGACTAAAGGCAGCGCAATTCTCGTTGGTCAATCCATTCGGCTGACTTGAAAGCCACCACCGGTAACCGACAACCACTCCTCCTTCACGGCACTCCCAGGTTCCCTCACTCGCTTCGTCGTTGCAGTCGATCCAAGCCCTGCCTGTTTCTGGTATCAGAGTCGCGACAAAGTTGTTCTCCTCTCCCGTGCCGGGCACAGCTAGAACCCCGCCCAAGTTGTCGCACGCGCTTCTCGCGCTGTACCACGCAAAGGTCGTGCTGGTCACCACGTAGCAAGAGTTGTCATGACGCACCCATGAGTGAGGGCAGCGTGACCTTAACGACCGACACCGTGCTGCGACTTGAGTGACAAAACAACATGACGAAGCGACAAAGATGGCGATGAAAACTGAAGCACGCATTGTTGCTAATTACTGCTGTGCTGGCCTAGCCAGCTCAAACAATACTGTTCATGCCTCAATATCCAGACAAAACAGAAAGCATCAGCATTCAATCTTAAAAGTGTACTTTTCTTCCAATGTACAATGATGTAGGGACAGAATAAAGTCAGACGAAGGCCAGGCCAAAACCCGAAGTTTAAACGATGAAAATTACATGCACATTGGCTCGGGGCGTGACTGCAAAAATAGCTCTTCTCAAAATATGGGAGAAATTCATAAAAGGTCTTACTTATTAATATACTGCATTTTGACACAAAATCAATTTCATATTGTACATGTACATGTACATCTTTTCAACTTGAGCTATATGCAGGGCTCGATCAGCGGTGAAGAATTGGCGACAGAAGATGAAGGCTACAGTAGTTATTTATTGATTGCTTGAGATAATTTTTTGGAGCGTGAAGAACCATTGCAGAATTCCAATATTACCCTCGTTCAGATCGATATCCGACTCTTTGTGGGCGACTTTCACCACTGCATAATGAAATCGGCTATTCAGTGCTGTGAACAGTGACAAAGCAAGGGGATGATCTGAAGTTCTTTTTTCCAAGTCTGACTGCTGTTAACTGCTTCGCGCCGGGATTATTTTTGCTGAAAATTTCGATTTTCGCAAAAGGCAAAATTTTCCAGCCAACTTCTGATATACAGCCAAATGCCACAAATACTGATTCGTAAAAGAGTCATTACAACAGTATTTGCACGATATTTTTTGCCGAAACCTCATACATTTCAATACTCCGGGGTGTGCAGTGGTGCGTAAACTGTAGTAAAAAAAGGCCAATTCAAGATCAACACACGGTCAGCCTCCAGACACTTTACGGTCTTTACGTGTGTGCAAAAGACACGAGAAATTGGCGTGTTTAAACGTCACCCGGAGTCGAGTTGAGGCAATCTTTACATTTTAACTTGTCAGCCGTGCCTGTGTATAGAAAACAGCCAGTGCGTGTTATCACGTCCTCCGATGCAAACTGGTTAAGCGGGAATATTTTGTTGACAAATTTTTCAATGTTCGGTTTTTACATGTACCTCCGACAACATAATTTCATAAACAATGTACATGTAGACTTAATGTTGTCCGAGGGCTTGCAATTCACAGGTTTACTCGGGTGGGACTCGAACCCACCACCAATGGTTCCAAGTGTTACGACCAAAAAACTTCTATGGAGCTGAAAAACAGTGTTCATTCGCTCGACTTCAAAAACGAGGAGAAAATACTCCTTTGCAGCTTGCCTTAATGCACTCCATTGTTTTCCATTCCAAAAGTTCAGTCTGCTGTTCAGAAGGGCGTGCGAGAAACAATTTCACAAGCTCATTACTCGGGTGGAGTTAAACCCACAACCAATGGTTCCAAGTGTTAAGTTAAGATCAAAAACTAGCATGTGCTTGACCAACAGACATCGATCACTTGACTTCAAAATGACCAAAAATGCTCCTTTGGCACTACTCCCTATCCTCTCAATTGTCTTCCGTTCCAAGACACATGTATCTGTTTCTGCTGTTCCGAATTTGTGAGGTTCACCTAATTTTCCTGGGGGATATTCTGGAAATGACAACACGCAGAGCCCACCATTCATATTATTAAGTTTCCACTGGTTCTTTTTTAGAATGACACAAAGTCACAACTTATTCATATTTCTGACTTCACCGAGGGAAACTTTAAGTCTTATTTACTGGTTTTGGGATAATTAAGTTGATTGTCAGTTGTCTTGGCAGGTAGATTACATCGCAGGCTTCTTGCAGACCGCTGGAATCAGAAAATGGCAGGGAAAGTCGTGCCAGCCCAGCAAGTCACTCCGAATGACTGCGCAGTCTTCAGCGGCATTTTTCCCAGCCTGTCCGCGGTCCCAATTCCTGTACTGAACCTCCACTCCTCCTTCTGTACACCCCCAGATTCCCTCGGTCGTCTGATCGTTGCAGTCGATCCACGCCCGGCCCCCGTAACCCGGCAAGAACGACATGATGAAGTCGTGCTCTTCCTGGGAGCGCGGCACTGCGAGAACGCCGCCCAAGTTGCCGCACTCAGCTCTCGCGTCGGACCACTTGATGGTGGATTCTGTGATCAAGTAGCAAGAGGCTCTCCGATGGTGCCACTTCGAAGGACAGGGCGGACCTGCATTCCATGGTCTACATCCCTCTGATGCGACGTGAGCGACAAAAGTAATCGACACACAAGCAAAGATGGTAAAAACCGAAGAATGCATCTTACAGCTCACCGGTACTTGTACAAGGGTAGTGACTGCTCAGAAACTACTACTCGTTAAGACAGCATCTTCAGATGCACAAGCCTATTAAGTTGAGTATCCACTGAAAACATGGAAAATGAAGCAAACTCAGAGTCAAATCCAAAATTCATTGGAGGAAAACCCATGTGACTTGCTCGTCCATAGCTCAAGAGTTAAAATGATGATGCGAAACACGACTGGCTTGATCCGACGAAAGTCCTTCTTCTCAACAATGGTCTTGTTAAATTGGCTTTTCCTTATACTCTGTTGTTGCCAACCGACCAATTTGATCCCAAAGATCGCCTTGGCAACCAACCATAAAGGGGGGGGGGGGGGTACACCCCCTTTTTTTAAAATCAATATTGAACTCTTTTGTTACTAATTATTCTCGTTACACAGTGGCTTGATCCAAGGCCAGAAAGGCTGTTTTCTCAAAAATGGTCTCGTTAAAAAAACGTCCTTGTAATTAGGCGCTGGCAAGCAGCCAAAGTATGTAAAACACCCAGAAAGGCTGTTTTCTCCAAAATGTTTTCGTTAAAAAAATGTCCTTGTAATTAGGTGCTGGCAAGCAGCAAATGTATGTAAAATCCAAGGCCAGAAAGGCTGTTTTCTCAAATATGGTCTCGTTAAAAAAATGTCCTTGTACAGTAAATAGGTATTGCCAAGCAGTCAATGTATGTAACACACCCAAAAGATTGGCATCCATCAGCGATTTTAATACACAATGTTGAAATGGAAAGTACCGGTATTAAGGCAGGAACGGGTGATGCAGAGAATGGTTCCCCAATAATATAATAGTGAAATGAATTGCGTACAATTTTTTTTGGAGCTCCACATTTTTTTTTAAGGCAATATTATACAATATTTGCAAACATCACAAAACATAACTGCCCACATTATTGTGAAAATTGACTGTCAGCGATAGGGCTCGCTCAATGACGACCATCTCTGTAGGAGAACTGCAACTGCGTATATTACGCAATCAAGCACGCATTACGCAGTGTTGAAAATGTTCCAAACACGCGCGCTTGTTGCTCCAAATGTGTTCGAAATACAACGCAGCCGATGTGCGTTATGCAAGTTGACGCTCAAAATGCCGATGCACGTGGATGGTCTTTAAGAAATGACGTCATTTGAACGAGACCTATTGATAGTCTCAAGCATCCTGTGAAATCATGGCACCTTGTGTGCTGTCATTTTCAAGAAAAGTCAATTTTTTTTTACCAATTTCCAAGGTCATCTGACAATCATTGAAAAAAAACCCTGACAATTGTTTCAAATACTGTCTCCAATTTACCAAATTTATTTAGTCCACATTTTCTGGTTACACATCCATGAATGACCTTTGACCTTGGTATGTGACCTTGGTATATGACCTTTGACATTGTTATCAAATGAAGGTTGCCATGTTGCATCTATGACCCAAGTTTGATTCCAATTGGACTTCAACTTTTCAAATGAGACCAACTTTTTAAAAAAACCTAAGGGCCAAATTTCCATGAACTTTTCCTGACTTGTAATGATAAAAAGATAGCAGCTTACCAGCCAAGGTGCGCCCTGCAATGTGGACACGACACTATCCGCCATGAGTAGGTAGGGAACCAGCTATGCTCCGCAAAGGCCTTGGGGGGAAAAAGTCAAAGTAACATATAATTTTTTTTTGTTTTGATAACCAAGCGTAACATTCAATGCAATTTTAATGGTGTATTTTTTTTTCCAATTTAAAAACCGGACCCTTAAAAAAAAAAATCAATATCACATGAAAAATCGTCTTTGATTATAAAATATGCTCAATTCTTATATCGGCTGTTACAACAAATATAAAACAATTTGAAGAAATGAAACCGAAAACTTGCAAAAGTCATCTGACAAGGTCGCGTCATTTCCTTTAATTGAATTTCAGTTTCAGAAATATTTATGTTCACAGAACTCAAGGTCTGTAGAATTATAAGTAGTCCCCCCCCCCAAAAAAATAATACTTATCTGATGCAAAACACCCTGTAGTCGTACTTTGTCTGGCAAAATGTCATTTTGAGGCAAGGAATTTTTTTGCAGGACGGAATTTTTAAAAAGTGCATCAAGTGCTGAAAAAAGATTTCCTTTTTTTCTCGTAATACAATATCACTTTCAGTCTCTATGATTGCTCGCTTAGAAGAAACCAAATCTTGCATTGTTCTCCAAATGCCTTGACTTCAATGTTTGTGAGTTAGAAAGCTGGACTGAGAGTGCCCAAATATGGTGATCTACAGATATGCAAATGAAGAGGTGGGTGTATTCAAATGATGAAGGAAACATCAGCCAATCGAAGGACTCATATGGGTATCTGCCATATCAAAGTGCATTTTTGTTTTGTTTTAAACAAGAAAGCAATGCCATATGCAAATGACTGACACACTTTCAACCAATCAAATGAGCACATCTATGGCTTCTACAATCTTCAGGTACACATTAAAATAAGGATGCAGTGCTATATGCAAATGAATGAAGGAAACTTCAGCCAATCAAAAGAGGTCAATTATGGCAATGGTATCTGTGGCGGCAGCACTGTAGTATGTTAATGCAAATCAGTAGGCTGGGCCGTATGCAAATGATGAAGGACATTTCAGCCAATCAAAGCAACTCTTCTATGATATCTTGGACAGCAGTGTCATGTAGTCTCTCGGTGCCAAAGGACTGTGCAAATAAGCCTAAGGCGGGGCTTTATGCAAATTAGTGACCAAAGCTTCAACCACTTACTAAAATACGGAGGTAAGTTTCATTTTGTTTACTTGTGGGTCAACTTTTTGTCTCTGAAAATCAAATCATTTGAAATTCAGGAGAAGAAACATTACACAAGCAGAAACTTGTTTGTCTTAACTCCTCATTTTATGTCACAAACTCTTCATTTTATGTCACAAAAAAGGGAGAGTATGTCACAAAAATGGACGTTTCCAAATCTTAAAAAAAATCAGTACTGTAATTTTGTTCTGGGTCCTATGCTAGGTCCACAACTATCAAGAGAAAGAAAAAATGGAAACCTGAAATAGAAAGAATTATGGGGACCGCCAGCCTGATTAAAGGAAACACGCAGTGGAAATTCAGCTCATCTTGTTTTCATGGATATTACTATGTGTTGCAACAATACATACACGATCTTAATACTGGTTTTTATTGGAAGTGACAAGAAAGTAGTAATTTTTCAATTATTAGCAAATCCTTTCATAAGAGGGCGCTATTTTGCTTTTGTCACACAAGGTACTCCTTGTCAAAAGTGCATATGAACAGTACAAAAATTAGTCCTTCAAAATTACCCACAGAAAAGTTTTGAAGAAATATTGGCCACTACTTTTGTCCAAACAAGCTATTTAACATGATAAACAAGTAAAACCTAGAAATTACACCAAGAAAATGAAGGAAAGTTTGATATATTTGTACACAAAGCTAATGAGCCACTACTGTTCTGCCTTGAATGGCATTACTCATTGGCTCATGAATATGGAAATTTTCATTAGCATAAAAACAAAAATGTTGGAATTTCTCCCTTTTACTGCTACAATTGGAGGTGGAAAGTCATAGTAACATGGCAAGAAAGCTGTTTTAAATGTATTTAAGTTATAAAAATCCTATTGCATGTTTCCTTTACGTTCAAGGCAGTTCAGGACTCTCACTTCCTAGTCCCTTACTTTCCCAGATAGGACAATTGGAGGAACTATCGGTGAAAGTGTAAATGTTCCAAACGACAAGTCTTGGTTTTGCAGTACGATATCACAAGATTTCAGTTTTGGTGTCACTGAGAATGCAGTGTTCGATTTCTGCCAAAAAGAAAAAGAAAAAAGATTTTAAAAGCATTCCCCTGACTTCCTCGAGTCAGAAAGCATCGAGATACCATCGGACATACACACAGTTACTGGCAGAGAACGGATCAGGTCCCACACGCGATTATGGATTACTCAAATACTTCATTTGTGAACTTTACCGACAAAATCAATGAAACAATCACGCAGGAGGACAAAGAGTATGCAGAAGCCGTGGAGAACTATCAAAGGCAAAAGAATATTAACTATGCCATTGCTGTTGAAGCAGCCTGGTGCACTGCACCGACAGGCCTTTTGTTGAGTGTGATGTTTCTGTACGTCGTGGCGCGGATCCGAACCATGCGAACCGTCGTCAACGTCTACCTGGGCAATTTAGCAGTCGCAGACTGCTTATACCTAACATGTATTCTCGTTTTTTTGGCTCCACAAGTGACCAGCTCCGTGTTTGGTGTAATTTTCAAGATCGTTTCTGCTTCAAGCAACATGGCTTCGTATTTGATAGTCGCTTCCCTGGCCTACGAGCGGTTCGTGGCTGTCTGTCGTCCACTGGCTCTCAGAGCCGAGTCGAGCAAAGCTCAAGCCGCCAAAAGACTGGCTAAAGTATGGATGGCTGCGATTATCACAGGAGGTGGGGCTACTTCAGCTATCCACTGGGGCGCGGAACTTGGTGTGGTCATTGCTGGTGTGTTGCTGTTAATCTTTTTCACAGCTGGCCTCATCACTGTTGCCTACTTCTATACTCGTATCGTCCAGAAACTACGACAGCAACCTAGGATCACATCGACTGATGATCATCGCCATCGACTTCAACGAGTAATCATCATGCTTATCGTGAACACTGCCATCTTTTTTATCCTTAACACTGCAAAAATCACAGAACTTATCTTTGGCTTGGTTCTGATTTGGTCTGAACTGTCTGGTTTAAGTAAGATCAAAGCCATGCGTTCGTTTAATAATTTGACCATATTTACGTTTATATTTAATATACTCAATTGTTCCGTAGACCCTCTTGTATACAGCGGCGTTAACAAAGACTATCGGGAAGCTTTTGTGGAGGCATTCTCTTGCCTCAACCCAAAACGCTGTTGCAACCGTTTCTGCCAAAGTCCGGACACCTTACAGCAGCCAGCACAGCAGATTGAACTGCAAGAAATCCACCACGGCCAAGACACCCCACAGCAGCCAGCACAGCAGATTGAACTGCAAGAAATCCGCCACGGCCAAGACACCCCACAGCAGCCAGCACAGCAGATTGAACTGCAAGAAATCCGCCACAGCCAAGCCACCCCACAGCAGCCAGCACAGCAGATTGAACTGCAAGAAATCTGCCACGAACAAGACACCCAACAGCAGCCAGCACAGCAGATTGAACTGCAATATATAAACCACGGACAAGATACCCCACAGCAGCCAGCACAGCAGATTGAACTGCAAGAAATCCACCACGGACAAGACACCCCACAGCAGCCAGCACAGCAGATGGAACTGCAAGAAATCTGCCACGGACAAGACACCCAACAGCAGCCAGCACAGCAGATTGAACTGCAAGATATAAACCACGGACAAGATACCCCACAGCAGCCAGCACAGCAGATTGAACTGCAAGAAATCCACCACGGACAAGACACCCCACAGCAGCCAGCACAGCAGATTGAACTGCAAGAAATCTGCCACGGACAAGACACCCAACAGCAGCCAGCACAGCAGATTGAACTGCAAGAAATCCACCACGGCCAAGACACCCCACAGCAGCCAGCACAGCAGACGGAACTGCAAGAAATCCACCACGGACAAGACACCCCACAGCAGCCAGCACAGCAGATTGAACTGCAAGAAATCCACCACGGACAAGACACCCCACAGCAGCCAGCACAGCAGATTGAACTGCAAGAAATCCACCACGGCCAAGACACCCCACAGCAGCCAGCACAGCAGACGGAACTGCAAGAAATCCACCACGGACAAGACACCCCACAGCAGCCAGCACAGCAGATTGAACTGCAAGAAATCCACCACGGACAAGACACCCCACAGCAGCCAGCACAGCAGATTGAACTGCAAGAAATCCACCACGGACAAGACACCCAACAGCAGCCAGCACAGCAGATTGAGCTGCAAGAAATCCACCACGGCCAAGACACCCCACAGCAGCCAGCACAGCAGATTGAGCTGCAAGAAATCCACCACGGACAAGTCACCCCACAGCAGCCAGCACAGCAGATTGATTTGCAAGAAATCTGCCACAGCCATGATACCCTACAGCAAGTTGCTGATCATAACTTTACATTTTAAACTCCTGAAAGAAAAAAGCTTCTCCATGGATTTAAAGGTAATTATACAACATTTGCTTTATTCTGCAGTTTTTAGAAATGGATGGATTTGGGGGGGGGGGATACTTTTTTATAGCAAATATTGTTACACTGACATGTTTAAAGTTTTGTGTTCATAAATGCTTGAAAAACCAAGGAAAAAAGGTTGTTCTTGTAGTCTGGTTTAATACCTGACCTTACTTCAGACGGAGCAATTTATAGACGTCGGGGAATTGTCAGGTCAGGGAACCAGACTAGCTGGCTTGCACCTGTTCATGATGTGTAACCGATTGCAAACAAAATAAATTTGATAAATTGGGGGCAGTTTTGGAAAAAAGTCAGTTTTTTTCCAACGATGTCAGTTTTGAAAACAATTTTTTTCAACAATTTTGAAAAAAGTCAGTTTTGTTCCCAACGATGGTCAGCCAGCCATCGTTAAAAATTGAAACAAATTCCACTTTTCTTCAAAATGACAGCACGCCAAGAGCCATAGTTTCACAGGATGCTTGAGACTATCATTCGCTTACAGTCAAGTAAGGCATTTCATAATAATTTGGTAGTTTTGTTGTTTGGTGTTTGCAAATGTTGTGTACTACATGTACCTTTAATATCAATTGAACTATTACTTTTTAAAAAATATTTAAATGAATCACTGCAAGAGGAAATCTACCTGTTCAGCTTTTATCACTTCAGCCTGTTTAGCTGTGATGAGCTCAAACACTCTGCCTGTTTAAAAATGTATCAATATAAAACCAATGTTACAGCAGAATGCAACCTGTATCTGAGAAATTTTATAGGCCCTACATTAACCCAAAGTTTTGGTAAATCTGCCAAAATTTCAACCATGTGGCTTTATAGAACTTGTTTTTTTGGAAAGGATAGTACTGTTCAGCCAAATAACTTTGACTTTTGGTCCCAAATTTGTTTTAGAAGTAAAAAACAAAATGCAGTACTGGATTAAGGAATAGTGCTAGATTATGAGAACTTAGGCCAAAAAAAGATAGTTCTGCTTTCGATTACATGGCGTTCGAAAATAAGGTAGGTAAGGCCAAAAAAAAAAAGTCTCCGGTTTCTGGTATGCGCGCGCGTCGCTGTAGCCATGCGCGTCGGCAAAATGAAAATTTTTTTTTTTCAATAAAAGATGATGTCTCAAAACCGCCAAACTCACTGGTTTGACTGGAATCCTGCTGCAGCACATTTTTAACGTGTTTTTAGATAAGTTATGGTCGAGAATAAGCTTTATGTGGCCTCTCTGGCATGTCTGGACTCCCAATCCCATATAGGCCTATTTGTACTAAGTTTAGTCGGGCACCATTTGCAGTCATCAGCCAACATTTGAAGCAAAAGAGTCGGAAAAAAAAAAAAAGCCGCGTCGCCGCACCACTTTTTGGGCAAGCTCCATACCAGAAACCGGAGACTTTTTTTTTTGGCCTAAGTAGGGAATTTTTTTTTTGGCCAATTTTTTTTGTGTACGGTCATATGGAGGCGTCTGCCATGTCTGCGTGTAGTCAAGGGTAAAGGTAGCAATTGATGGTTTTGGGTGGTTTTTTTTCTTCTCATTTTTCCCATAAAAAAAAATAGGGCAGGGGCTCTCAGAATAATGTAGGTAGGGAAACCGGAAGCAGAACTATTATTTTTGGGGGGGCCTTAGGAAACCAGTTTCAAAAGCAAAAACACACAGGGGTTTATCCAGCAATGTTTGTCTTATTCTAACGTAAAATATTAAAGTAACTATTGATTACTGCTCAAAAATTAACTGTATTTATTTTTATTTTTTGATTGGTTTATATATGAAGACTTTATTTCTGATTTGGATATATGCATTTGAAAAAGTGAAAAATGTGTACATTTTTCTAAACTGTTTCTAAACTCCATTTTTACTTTGACTGTATCCTAATTGAAAACTATAACAGCTGTCGAAACTGACTTTAGCCAGCCAGGAGATTAGAGGGTGGGATTCTTAAAGGAAACAAAATGATAGTGATCACGTTTTTGAAATAAAGTCTTCATTCTTCAATTTTGGAATGAAATTAAAAGTTATGGTTAAAATTCAAGTCTCTATAACTGATAACAATCTTTGTAATTTTATCAAGTGAAAGCCTTTCCCTCAATTTTTCACATTCAACACTTTTTTTACACCCACTTCAAATAACAAATCAGCAAGTGTTCTATTTATTTACTTGCCTTGAGGATTTTTAAAGAGTTGAATTAAAACATTGTCCACGCCCAGAATGGTGTCATTCCGTTGGTGCAGCGAAAGGTCACTTGTCCGTCTGATTAGATCGGTTGCCTGGGTGACCTCATGACCACACTGACGACACAGTAGGAATGCTGTAGGATTCAGTTGTTAAAATAATTGTTAATTCAAGGACAGAAAAAATCATTCAAATATTAAATGTAGGGCACTCCAGCTAATTTTTAATCAGATTTATACAGCTTGGGATTCATTCATTAATTTCATTCATTCTTTATTATTTTTACCACATCTCATTTCATTAAGTGACAAGGCATAAATACATACATATAGTTTTGGGTATTATAAAGCGGTCATACTAAAAAGCGTCAACACAGCGTCAACACATCCAAAATGCATTAAAAGTGACAAAAGCAGTATATAGCCCATATAGTATGGTCAGAAACAAGATTTAGGTATAAAAGTAATAGGTTAAACGTCTGAAAATTGCAATTTTCATTTAAAGAAAATTGGCTCTCCGTGCCGCTCTGAAATCGGCTGCCATGTTGCCTCAGTGGTAGCCCCACTAGTGTGGCCGTCGGTATGCTGCGCTGCCTTAGGTTCAGCGCAGCATACCGACGGACCATACCATTATGCTAAAGGGTGATAGCGTTGTACAATAAACCAACAGAGAGGGCGCGGCCGGCCAATACCAATAGATATCCCTTTCAATAAAGTAAATGAAACATAAACACAATTCACAAAATAATGATCCACCACTCCGATCCTCAGTCCTCACAGCAGGGGTGTGAGTGACCACTGATAAAAATGGCTGAAAACAGCTGAAAAAAAGGTGTAAAAAGGCTGAACTTTGGAAATCTCCTATACTTTTGTACACAGCAAGTGAGGGAAAAAAGCTGAAATCCAAAACCAAAAAAAGCTGAAATCAGCTTTAAAGCTGAGATTTCACACCCCTGTCACAGATCTGGTATTCCTCTGTTGTTTATGACAAGATAATGTCATTACCTACACACCCCTACTTGAAATGGTGTAGTCCAAGCTTTGTGCGAAGTCAAGATGGCGGACAACGGCCGTGCACGTGCGAGTGAAAGGTCATTTTTTTCGCGTGAAAATACTATATTTTTAACAACGAAATGGAAACTCAAACCAATGGAAATTCTCTTTTATTCTATGCTTTACAATTATATACCATTTTTGTTAATTTAAAATGTGTTTTGGATGTGTTGACGCTTCTGTCATGTGTTGACGCTTTTTAGTGCGACCCTTATAAAGTTCGAGCTTGTTTTACAAAATATATTTTGGGCGCATTATTTTCTAATTAGAGATGGTGGATTTTTTTCTATGCCCTAACCTGCTCAAGTTAAACGACTCACCTTCCCACTCGTCGCTGTCTGAACCGCTGCCCGATATGCGCCCTACCTGCAGTGTTGCAATAAGTAAGAAAAGGTAGCGAACAACTGCAGAAACCATCCTAGAATGGAATCAACTTCACCCTAACATCCGCTCTTCACCTGACATTAAGACTTTCAAACTGGCACTGGACAACATCAACATTCAAGACCTGGCTTCCAAAACCCAATCAAGAATTTAGTTGCTGCACACCTGACCCTGACCAACGTACGTCGACAACCTTCTAGGTGTTTGTACGTTTATGGAACAGAAACAGAAACAGAAACAGAAATGCAACCGAGATTCCTGTGAGAAACGGCATCACAAACTCTCATGGGCGCCGCCATCTTGGAATTGCTCACTACCTACCGATTGAGGGCGCTAACATCAAATGAAGTCGACACAAAATAAACGGATCCGCATCAGCAAAAACTTTCCAGAAAAAAAATAATACACAAGGTGCACCTTTCTTATTTCTCAAAAAGGATTATTTATTCTTTCAATACAATAGATTCCATAAAACATACCAACATTTTCCTGTGACATGCATTCATGATTAACTTATTAGAGATGATTTTTTTTTTTTTAGGAACACATTTTGTGCACTTTTCTTAAAGGGAAAATACAACATTTGCAAACATCAAAAAATAAAACTACCAAATCATTTTGAAATACCTTGCTGGACTGTTAGTGAATGACAGTGTAAAGCATCCTGTAAAATCATGGCACCTGGTATACTGTCATTTTCAAGAAAAGTGCTATTTTTGTATCAATTTCCAACGCTGATCGGCCGATCAGCATTGGAAACAACTGGCTTTTTTTTCAAATACTGGCCCCAATTGACCATCGCACTTGTTTGCAATCGATTACAAACCTATGAACGGGTACGAGCCAGCTAGACTGGTTCCCTGACCTTACAATTCCCCAATGTATGTAAACTGCTGTGTTTCTTCTTATATGGAGTCAGGGAACCAGACTACAGGAAAATGATTGTTTTTCTTGGTGTTTATAGCATTTTCAAACCCAAAACCTAAAAAAAGTCAGTGTAACTATATTTGCTATATATTTCCAACCCCCCAATTCCATCCATTTCTGAAAATTACAGCAAAAGCAAATGATGTATATTCCCTTTAAATGCATGAAAAGTATTTGAAACCAAAATTTTTTCTTTGAAAATATTTGTGAGAATAGTTTGCTCATAGGCTTACTGTCATGTACTGACTCAACAACGAATCAACAAAGAAAAGAAAATTTACAACAGCAAAATATCCACAATTCTGGCACCTTTTGGTGCTGAAATAGCTGTAACATTGGGGTTTCTGCCTGAAATGACATCACACTTTTGTCATGAATATGATAATTTGTATTAGCATAAAATCCAAAAAAAGCCCCAAATACCCTTGAAAATGGCGAAACCAAAATTGAAAATGAGGTTACATTGGACACAAAGGTGCATTTTGAAAAACTGCATTTTAAAACAATACATTGCATGAGCACTTTAATTGTTCAAAATGTATACATTTGTTTGATTTATAGTGAAAATTAATTTGTACTTATATCATAATGACTTTTTTCAGGAGTCAATGCCTTTTCCGTATATAGTTTCCAAAACAAAAATACATGTACCAGGTATGTGTAATTTGTTTGGTTGGGGATCACATTTTTCAACAACCATCACTCTGTTGCTATGGCGATGACCTCTTGACACGGTTGCCAAGGCGACCAGATATTAAAGGGATGCCTCAGCCTCCTCGCCCTCTGGTCCTTGCGAGTCCCACCAGTGGAGCAAACTGGGAGAGAAAGGGAGTGATAAAAAGGGTTGGGGGAAATGCTCATGAAATCAAAGATTCTTTGTTTTTCTGTCCTTCAAAAATTAATTTTGTTCTTTCTTAAAAATTTAGTAACCCCTTCGCAGTTATCCGACAAACAAGAGGGCTTCTGACTTTCAAAGACCATGCAAATAAAAATGCGAAAGAATAAAAAACAGGACAGAACTTACTGTTCGGTATCAGCTTTTTCGTCAAAGCTTTCATAGAGTGCACTGCAGGAAAAAAAAAATATTGCATTTTTTGTCATTTTTTTGCAAAAGTTAAGTCAAGTAGAGACATTGGAAAGGTAATAAGGCCCACTTTAAACTGGCAAGGTTAAAAATTGTTTGGAGTAAAATGCAAAATTCAAGGCAATAATTACGGTACTTTGAGATGAAGCAGATTAGTCTACTCTGAAGTACTTGTTTGACACAGGCACAGGCACAGCCCAATGAGCACATGGGCAACGCAAACGTGCAGGCCTGCCAACTCTCACGCATTGAGCGCGAGACTCACGCATTTCAGGTTGTACGCACCCTCTCACGCGCAAACGGTATTTCTCATGCTAACAAAATAAATAAATATAACTTGAAAATGATGTTTAAATGATGATCTTTTGCTAAAAAAAAAATGGTTAGAGTGGTCAGAAATTGCCTCAGATCGCACCACAGAGCATCAAGAATCCAAAATAAGGGCTTCGCGCTTTGCGCTCACATTTATACCATGATTACTTCTGATCAAGCTCCATCGACAAATTCCCACTCTCGGCTCTTACTCAAGGTTGGCAGCCCTGCAGCATGTCTCGTTCGATGCCACGCTGCAGGTTGACCACACACGAATAATTTTGTTTGATGAGCAAATGTTACAGTCTTTAAATTTTTCAATAAGATGTTTTTCATTACCTGCGTCTTTCTTCTGTTAAATCGTCATGCAGTAAGTAGCATCAGTAGTGGTACACAAAGCATTGGGATGCAAATGCAGTCAGTCAATACAGGAAGCCACTCAGAGCGGCTAGTCCCACACTCACCGTGAGCGGCTTACAGTTAATAAGTTAAAGCATGGTTTCAAAAGCCACAAATTAAATCCACAGCCATTGTCCCCCCCCCCCCCCCCCTTCCTAAAAACAAAGTGGCCCAATTTTTTCTTTTTTTATTCGGGTAAAACTGGAGCAAATTTTACCCCCCAAAAATAGCCAAACCATTCAAAAAAGTCTAGTAGTTCTTTAGCCACAATGATTTTGTTAGGCTACAATAGGCCTTAGTCATGCTGCCACCATTTCAGTCATGTTCCCTGTATCCAATAACAGTACTGAACGCTAATATTTTTTGTGCAAGAAGGAACCAGACTATTTTTCCTTCCAGCCTCGCTTTGGTTACGTTGTTTTGAATGGGAAAAAAATCAAGATGGCTGCAACATGATAATGGTCTATTCGGCCTGTTTCGGGCCCCAATTCAATTAGCCTATTTGACGTATGGTGGACACAATAGGAGGGCGCTTTACCTAAATCAAACAGCGCCCTCGTATTGTGTCCGCCATACCTCACATATGCTAAGGCACTCACATGCACAATAGTGTTATCAGGATACATTCTACAGGAAACAATTGACACAAATTATGTGTTAACAAAACTTTTTATCTATCTATTCATGTTGACACTTCTCGTGTTGTACAAAAAAATGAGTAGCATATAGATTAGGTTGAATTAATTTTTAAAAATGTGAAAATTACTGTCAAATTTTCAGCCTTATCTACTCGAATCACATCGATTTGGCATAGAAATAAATATCAATATGTACAAATGTACAGTTTTCTTAAAAAAACAAAACAAAATAGTTAGCATAGATTAATCATTGTGCAAAATTTACATAAACTTTTTTGTATAAAACTGATCTTTGAGACAAATTCATTTCAACAATCATTGTTTCTAGCGGTGCACCTGGTTTCAAGCAACTACGACATATCTGAAATTGCACCAGAAGTCTATAAATCCTAACTTTATTTCTGAAATATTCGTCAATGACAATCATTACAGCTCACACATATTTTTACAAACTTTTCTTGTGAATTCCTTATATTAACCCTAACTCCCTAGCTCTTTTACAAGGAACTGGACCAAGTCCATCAAAATCCATCAATCACTGTGCGTCCAATACAAAACTGTACATGACAAAATGGAATCCACCACTGACGCACTGGTTGACATTCATGGACTTGCTACACATGGCTTTTATCACAATAGCAGTACAGGAAGCTAGGCAAAATCAATCGGATACCCCTAGCACTGCTTCAGGCCATTAGGCCCAAGTCCATCATACTCCATCAATATTTAGTCACGCCAGGCCTTCTGGACCAAGTCCCCTAAAATCCACCAAAATGGGGGGGGGGGGGGGGGATTTTGATGGAGTTGGGCTGGTTAGGGTTAAAGAAAAGCTGTATCCTCTCTGAGTGATCCCCGTTTGCTATTTCCCAGGTTTGCAGCATTTCTAGTGTTACTAGCATCGTGACTTTGGGCGTGATCCCTGGCTACATGGCATTTACAGCTTTATGGCTTCTGACCAGCACCCCTTGAACAAAGACATTGACAAAATGGGGAACCGCCAACATAGGGCTGGATAGCCCAGTTGGTAGAGCACTGGAAAGGCAATCCGAAGGTCGTAGGTTCATAACCTGCGCGAGTCAGTTTCTTTTTTCAAATATACAATTAATTCCTAGTGTTAATAGATTTTAGGATCTCCATGCAGTTAAGGCATGCAAAGTATCACCACGTGCTACGCAGTTCATTCATTTCTATGAATCCTCGATTCCGCTCACCACACCCAAAAGTATTAGAATTTTTTTTGGTAATTTACTAATTCGTTCCCACGAATTGCTATTTCGTTCACACAAATTGCTAATTCGTGGGCACGAATTGCTAATTCGTGCGCACGAATTGCTAACTCGTTCGCACAAATTGCTATTTCGTTCACACGAATTGCTAATTCGTTCCCATGAATTACCAACTCGTTCCCACGAATAAGTAACGCTTTCCCGGATGCACGAGTTAGCAATTCGTTCCCACGAATTAGGAAATCGTGCGAACGAAATAGCAATTCAGGGGAACGATTTAACAATTCGTTCGAACGAAATAGCAATTCGTGCGAACGTAATAGCAATTCGTGCGAACGAAATAGCAATTCGTGCGAACGAAATAGCAATTCGTGCAAACGAAATAGCAATTTCGTGCGAACGAGTTAGCAATTCGTGCGAACGAATTAGTAATTCGTAGGAACGAATTAGTAATTCGTGGGAACGAATAAGCAAATTACAAAAAAAAATTCCACCCTGTCCCTTCCCGGGCTTCATACATAAGTTAATTTTTTTGGCTATGTCTTCAAGTTTTTGGCAAGATTTTTCTTTCTAAGTACATCGGTCAGCAAAATTTCTATCAACCATATACGTCTCTCTCAAAGATGGCCATCTCTGTAGGAGAACTACAACTGCGTATCTTATGCAATCTAGCACGCATTGCGCAGTGTTGAAAATGTTCAAAACACGCGCGCTTGTTGCTCGAAATGTGTTTGACTTGAAAAAAGACGCAGCCAATGTGTGTTATGCAAGTTGACAATCAAAATGTCGATGCACGTGGCCGGTCTGTAGGAAATGACGTCATTTGAGGGAGACCTATTCTTCAAAAAAAACTGAAATCATGCATGATGATATACAGTTTCATAGTACAGCTTACAAAAAGGAGTTTTCATCAAACATTTCAGAATAAATATAACATGATCTATATAATGAAGTTAATGATTAAGATGTAAAGAAGGGGGCGGGGCTTAAATTAAGAGGGGCGTGCACCATCTTCATGGCCATTTCCGAAACCTTGGTTATAACTTCAACTTTGGCTTCATCTCTTACACAAGGTTCTCAAATATGTTGAAGCCAAAGCTGTAGACAAGGTTTCGTAAACACCTGTTTTTGAGAAAGACTAATTTCATAAAAATGATTGCAGAACAGTTTTCTCAGTAAGTGCTTTTCTCTACGAGTTCTGTGAAAGTGGCCCCCCCTCCCAGCCCCCGCCCCCACCCCGATATGTTAGTACTCGTGCACAATCGTTCATGCGAAGCTAAAACAATCTACAGCACTGTTTCTTTTTCCAGAAAGAAATTGTGGTTTCGTTTGGACCTGTAAACGCGGGAGCGGTCCTCTGGAAGATATCGGTCCTGATTCTGCAAAAACAAAACAAAACAGAAAAACAATTCCGTATAAACCATAAAAGGCCACAAATTTGGGTTCATAAATGGGCACTAGTGCCCTCGTTTCCAGTCAATATATGTACGCAAAGCCATGGCCCTCTTGTGGCCTTTTAAAGTCCCTTTGGGTGCATAAATCATCATTAGTGCCCTCCTTTCCAGTCAATATTCACCTTCTACCAGGGTACATAGCAAGCACTAGTGCCCTCATTCCTAGTCAATATATATCCCCACAAAGCCCTGGCCCTCCTGTGGTCATTCACCTTCTCCCAGGGCACATAGCAAGCACTAGTGCCCTCATTCCTAGTCAATATATGTACACAAAGCCCTGGCCCTCCTGTGGCCATTCACATTCTTCCAGGGCACATAGCAAGCACTAGTGCCCTCATTTCCAGTCAATATATCCCCACAAAGCCCTGGCCCTCCTGTGGTCATTCACATTTTCCCAGGGCACATAGCAAGCACTAGTGCCCTCATTTCCAGTCAATATATCCCCACAAAGCCCTGGCCCTCCTGTGGTCATTCACCTTCTCCCAGGGTACATAGCAAGCACTAGTGCCCTCATATCCAGTCAATATATCCCCACAAAGCCCTGGCCCTCCTGTGGTCATTCACATTCTCCCAGGGCACATAGCAAGCACTAGTGCCCTCATTCATATTCAATATATGTGCGCAAAGCCCTGTCCCTCCTGCGGCCATTCACATTCTCCCAGGGCACATAGCAAGCACTAGTGCCCTCAATTCCAGTCAATATATGTACACAAAGCCCTGGCCCTCCTGTGGTCATTCACATTCTCCCAGGGCACATAGCAAGCACTAGTGCCCTCATTCCCAGTCAATATATCCCCACAAAGCCCTGGCACTCCTGTGGTCATTCACATTCTCCCAGGGCACATAGCAAGCACTAGTGCCCTCATTCCCAGTCAATATATCTCCACAAAGCCCTGGCCCTCCTGTGGTCATTCACATTCTCCCAGCGCACATAGAGAGCACAAGTGCCCCTACTGCTGGTCAATATAATAACTATTCCACGATGTACAATGTAAAACTATTGGTCTTACCGTTGGGCTGAACCATTCGTCTGCTGTCTTCACATCGGCTGCCCTCTTGCCATCCTAAAAAAAAAATGCAAAAAAAAGAAGAGAAAAATCAGTTGAAGTGGAATTTAAAACCTGCAGCCTCCCGAGCACCCGTACTCTATCATCTTTACAATTAAAATGGAAAAATGTTTATCTCTTGGTACACTTTTCACACTAGTGATTTCCGCATGACTGAGCAAAATATTGGGTTATGGGGAGAGCCAAGTCAATAAACAATTTGGTACGGAAAGGGTTAAGACCCCAACATCAAAAGAGAAGTTCTGGAATTACTTACGAGGTAATGCACAAAGCAGCTGCAGGGAATCCAAATGAAGAGCGAGATGATGATGGTTGCCGCGACAACGTTATCCTTGATGATCCGCCCTGGCAAGGAAGCAAATGATAAAACCAAAACTGCTTTAGCGATGGAAACCGGTCAGGAATTGTAGATGGAGATGTGGTAGTAAGTAAAGTCTGTCACGAACCAGTGTGGCCCATCAGGCCGGCGTTTATCTCCGGTTTCAGTAGCATGATACGACTGAGAGTATTTCTACTCCCCCTGGATGGGATGCCAGTCCATCGCAGGTTACTCCCCAGCTAATGCCGGTACCCATTTATACTCCTGGGTGGGGAGATGCAAGTGGGTTGAAGTGGCTTGCCCAAGGACACAACATATGGCCAGCAGATTGAGACTCCTGTTGCTACGATTCATGGTTATCACGTTACCCACCTATTTTACTGATGGTGATGCCTTCGAAGACGTCGAAGAGTCGCTCGATGAAATCCTGAGTCTGGCTCTCACAGACACCCTGTTCCATACAAAACAGGACAAGATAACAAACCTAGGTCATGTCTGAATGGCTACAGCTAATAAAATGGATTTTACAACTCCCTTCTTAATTTGTTGACTAAACCCGACCGTCCTAAATCCTCCAAAATCAACCAGGCGGTTTGGGAGGATTTCGGAGGATTGAGGCTGTATTAAACCATTTTAGTGCCAGTTGATATTGGAGGATGAGTTGTGTCAAGCTCTTAAGCTGTACTTTGCGTTGCTTATGCTTAGCCATTCTAGGATTTTGAAGGATTGAGGCAGCGGTCACCCCTCCACTGAACAAATTCAAGAAATAACGGATGATTTTTGGAGGATTGAGGCTGAATCAAATTGTTCACATGATGGAAACCTGAGGATTTTGTAGGATTGAGGATGGATCCTAGCCAAAAGGGCCTAGGCGGTTAGGGTCAATTCTGCGATTGTTCTTACTTTGATGCAGACTCCTTCTGAGCAGGGTCGGCCGTCCGCTTGTAAGATCTTAGCACCAGTGGTCTTGTTGTTCTGCGGTAGACACTGCGCTGAAGGGGTCTTCTGACAACAGCGATAGCAGGATTCCACGACTAGTAAAGGTCAAGAAGGCAAAAGGTCAAACGGTCAAGAGGTCAAGAGCCTGGTAACACCTCGTACTGGTAACAGTCGATTGTTTATACATGAATGGAAATCAAAAACATTTGGCACAAATTGGAAAGACAACTTCAGTGCTACAGCATTTTTTTGGGGAGGGGGCAGGATGGAACAATTTTTTTCTTCTAAGATACGAGTATTTAAGGAAACGATTGCAACTATTTTGGAGGGCCCATGCAATGTAATTTTTTTTAATGCAATCCTTGGAAAAACACCTTTGTGTCATATTTAACCTTATTTTCAATTTTTGTTTTGCCAGTTTCAAGGGTATTTGGGTGACTTTTCGGTTTTCATGCTGATGCACATTTCCATATTCATGAGCACAACTGTGATGTTATTTTGAGCAAAAACCCCAATGTTACATCTACTTTCAGCACCAAAAAAATGCCAGAATTTCGGATATTTTGCTGTCATGCATTTTCTTTTCTTTGTTGTTGTGTCAGTACATGGCAGTAAGCCAATGAGCAAACTTTTCTCACAAATGTTTTCAATGAGCAAATTTTTGGGTACACAAGTTCAGCAGAAAACCCCTGAACTGAACAGTGTCTTCCTGAAATGATATCACAGCGACAGCGCCCTCAGTTGTCCGGAAAAGCATGGACATTTTTTTAAAGGTTTAAAAAAGTGCACTTTTCAATAAAAATAACCAAAAAGGGAGGTCAAATATTTTTTTATTCACTTAAGAGGAGAAAGTTCCACAAAACATGTTTCTAAGAAAAAAATCACGTCATGGACATGGATACATAACGAAACAATTAGTCACACTTTGGAGGTGTGGTTTTAGTGCTCATTGTATAACTCAGTAATACTGCCCTCTGTGGTTCAGGCACATGGGTCATTAGGTTTTGGAGATCTACTTACTGCCGGGACATATGCAGGATATCTGGTTGTGTTTCTCGCAGAACGGTATGCACTGGCCGCTCCGACATTCGCCGCTGGAAAATCAAACAAAAAACAAGAAAATTCAATCATTGTTCTGAATTTATATAAGACCACCAACCACTTGTCAACTGTGAGCAAATTCCGGCAAGCACCATTTAGTCGACTAGTGGTTGATTCATGATGTAACTTACGCCTGCGCACTAATAGCGACGTGCGAATGTCGCGTTTGACTAGAGAGTCAAACGCTGGTCAAAAAATTGCAAAACATCTGGGTCCTGGCTCCCTGCTGTACGTTATGAATGCGAGCGGCTATTGGTTACCAGCGATGCAACCAGCCCCAATAGGCTGGTTCCAAATCGTCGACTAGACTGAGTTTGGGCTAAATTTAGTCAAACTATGGTTAACCATTGGTCAACAATGGATCTTGCGCGAACTTGCCCCCTGACTGCACTTGTTTTACTGTCAGCAAAAGAGGTCACAATAAACAGCGCCACCTAGAGTCTGACAATGTCCAGTCCCATCACTTTGGACAACCCCCACTTGTATTATATACTACAGAGGCTCCTTTCAGATCTCAAACGTTCGTTAACCCTCCTGCTATTTAAGCAGTCACAGACAGTCAAATCTCACTTCCACTTCCCCTGCTATACTGGTACTAAAGGCAAGTCACCAGCAGTCAAATCATATGTCAAGCAAGCACTGTGACTAGTCAAACTGAGTCAACTGACACAGCAGGCAAGTTGTGGTCACAGCTGTTTTATCACTCACCCGGAGTCAAAGCATAGCTGTATCAAGTTACTTAAACAGTACAAGGCAGTCAATCCTGCTTTATGTAGGCTGGGAATTCTTACGGATTGAAAACAGTCACTTGATTGATTTTGACTGCAAGGACAACTTGGCAAGAATGTATGTTTGCATAGGAAGGTTAAATTTCAGAATTTTTTGTTGTTGCTATGTTTCTTCCATCATGATATTTTCATGATGTATTGGCTCAACACCCCCCTCCCCTACACATCAGTCTGGCCCCGCCCACAAGCCATCGTCTCTCACCCGTCCACGCATGCCGACTTGTCCGGCTTGGGTTGCGACACCGGGCAGTCCTTGCTGAAACCCGAACAGTTAGCGCTCTGCTCGCAATTCTTGTCGATCTTAGCGGCCTTGCGACACTCCACGTGGGCCCCGGCATACTGGCAGTTCAGACAGCAGGCCGAGTTTTTGTCGCTGCAGTGAGCGCCGGTCTTCAGGCGGCAGTTGGAGCCGCAGCACTGGTCCATGTTGTTGGTGCCGAGGTGGCCCACGTCGCATTCCTCGTTAGGGTCTACGCGGTAGTTCCCGCAGACTGCGTCACCTTTCGGTTCTGGAAGAAAAAAAAATCGGCGTTGAAGATAAAATTCCTGATGAATGTTCTTAATCTGACAATTGATACTGTCGTTTTTTGGTGGACACAAGAGGAGGGTGGTGTTATGTTTGGGTCAAATCTTTTGTATTTACCAAAATTTACAAATACTAGGATTGCTGCTACCTTGGAAGCATCTTGCGGACTTGGAGCGGAGCACGGGAGCGATGAGGCGCAGACTGCAGTTGGAGAATTTCTGAAGGAAAAGAAATGTAGAAGCAACAGTGAGATTGTGGTAATCAAGTCCTAACATATCATGGCAAGTTTATCACAAGTCACTCACAAGTCACTCGCAAGTCACTCACAAGTCACTCGCAAGTCACTCGCAAGTCACTCGCAAGTCACTCACAAGTCACTCACAAGTCACTCGCAAGTCACTCGCAAGTCACTCGCAAGTCACTCGCAAGTCACTCGCAAGTCACTCGCAAGTCACTCGCAAGTCACTCGCAAGTCACTCGCAAGTCACTGGCAAGTCACTGGCAAGTCACTGGCAAGTCACTCGCAAGTCACTCGCAAGTCACTCGCAAGTCACTCGCAAGTCACTCGCAAGTCACTCGCAAGTCACTCGCAAGTCACTCGCAAGTCACTCGCAAGTCATTCGCAAGTCAATCGCAAGTCAACCGCAAGTCAACCGCAAGTCAATCGCAAGTCAATCACAAGTCAATTGTAAGTCAATCACAAGTCAATCACAAGTCAATTGTAATCCAATCACAAGTCAATCACAAGTCAATCATAAGTCAATCGTAATCCAATCACAAGTCAATCACAAGTTAGTCACATGACATCACAAGTCAATCACAAGTCAGTTATAAGTCAATCACAAGCAAGTCATAAGCCAATCGTGAGTCTATCGTGAGTCAATCGCAAGTCAATCACAAGTTAATCACAAGTCAGTCACAAGTCAGTCACAAGTCAATCACAAGTCACAAGTTATCCAATTCAAACCAGTTTTACCCTTACCCTGTTGTTTGGGTCTCGGCCACTGACAGAGGCCGGGAACATCAAGTAATTACCACCGCTATGCCGGTTACCAGGCGAGCAGATGTCCCCTTCCGTGCCCGGGTCGTGCTCGCTGCCAAAATTGTGGCCCAACTCTGTCATAGAAAATGGACGAAGAAAAGAAACAAAAAATCATATCTCAATAAATTATTCGCGAATGATTAACTAATAGTGCAAGGAAAGATGAAATTGTGCCAACAATGACTCCATTTGTCCTAATTGATAAAGTCAATAGCGCCCTCTTTTGGTAACGCTTGGATCCAATGATATGGAGGTTACGAAGCTGTAACAATAACCTTATTTGTTCTAATCCTTTAAAGCAAATAGCGCCCTCTGTCACCATGCTTGGAGCTAATAACACAAGCGCTATTGAGATGCAGCAATGCTCTTACCGTGTGCCGTTACTAGATCAGCCTCGTCGGTCAGAACGTTGCGGCCCCAGTTGACCGTCGTCGTAAGCCCAGTGTTCAGGAACTGCCTGCCGTCCGTGTGGTAAACTAGTTAAAAATTGAAGCAATTTTAACTCAAGTTAATGGCCAGATTAACCCTTAACTTTTTCAAGCGGGTTAAGACTGTGCTATATGACTTGACACAAATGCCATAATGGTGTTCAGGACATTATGAAGAATATGATGACTACAACGAAATCAGGTCTGGAACCAGACTCACCTGAAGTGCATATGCCACCGACAGCATTGCTCCTTGGGGTGCCAATGTAGGCCAGACCGAGCACTCCGCTCTCAAAGTCCTGGTATGTGAAGAGGTGCGCTAGGCAGTATTCCCCATGGTCCTCACGGCTGTAGGCCTAATGGACAAGACCATGATGGCCAATTGAAAATTAAGTTTTGTTACCAATGTAATTGACTGTAGGTCTGTGTTCTTTATGGGTGTTAAGTAAAAGACCATGATGGCCAATTGAAAATAAGGTTTATCAATGTACCCATGTTCCTTCTTGCTGTAGGCCTAGAGTATAGGACCATGATGGCCAATTGGAAATAACGTTTTGTTACCTACATGTATGCACTTCAGGCCATGGTCTTTACAGTAGTAGGCCTATTGTATCGGACCATGATGGCCATTGAAATAAACAAGTTTGTTACTACTTGCAAGACAGTAAGCCCATGGTTCTCACAGAAACAAGACTGAGGTATCAAGACCATGTTGGCCATTGTTAAAAAAAAAATTGTTATTAATGAGCTTGCCCCTGAGGTTGAATCAATGACTCACCTCCAATAGATTTGTACATCCCATGCCTGTCCAGGGAGTCTGTAGCTGTTATAGTGTTCATATCAGTCTGCGTAGACCATGATGGCCATTTGTATTCAAAGTTTTGTTATCGATGTGCTTGAAAGTACTTGACTCACCTCCAAAGGTTTTTGTACATATCCCATGCCTGTCCAGGGGGTCTGTAGCCATTAAAGTTTAATATCAGTCTGCTTAGACCATGATGGCCATTTGTATAAAAAGTTTCGTTATCGATGTGCTTGAAAATACTTGACTCACCTCCAATAGTTTTTGTACATCCCATGCCTGTCCAGGGGGTCTGTAGCCGTTATAGTTTTCAGTATTACCCTCAGTTGGCGCATCATGGACAATAATCTGGAATACAAAGCAGGAGAAAATCATCGTTTTCTGTATCCTACATAATCCTTAAAAAAAAAGGAATTGATGGATTTTGAAAGATCTGGGAAGGGTTACGGGTAATGCACATTTGCAAACATCAAAAAACAAAACAACCAAATTATTATGAAATACCTTACTGGACTGTCGGTGAATAATACTCTCAAGCACCTTGTGAAATCATGGCACCTGGTGAGCTGTCATTTTCGAGAAAAGTGGAATTTTTGTATCAATTTCCAACGATGGTCGGCCGACCATCGTTGGAAAAAAATGACTTTTTTTCAAACACTGCCCCCAAGTTAACAAATTTAAGTTAGTCCACATTTTGTTTGCAATCGGTTACACATCCGTGAACGGGTGCAAACCAACCAGTCTGGTTCCCTGACCTGACAATTCCCTGACATTTATAAATTGCTCCATTTCTTCTGAAGTAGGGTAAGGGAACCAGACTACAAGATCAGCATTTTTTTCTTGGTTTTCCCAGCATCTACAAACACCAAACTTTACGCAGGTTAGTGTAACAATTGCAATAAACTACTAACCCCAAATCCATCTATTTCTGAAAATTACAGCAAAAGCAACTGTTGTATAATACCTTTAAGGTTAAATTAATATTTCTGGGTGAAATACAGACCTCTTTGACTTCAAATCCAAAGCCGTAAAAGCCTGGCTCCCATTCCGTCATACGATAGATAGGGTCCACTCGGTCAATCAGACTCAACTGGAGGGAGAAACAAAATCAAGTTTAGCACTGGCCAAACTGCAATGATAGTAACAATAAGGGCCACTTAAGAAAATAGTCTTGTTTATCAGTTCACATTACCAAATTCAGCCTTGTCAAGTTTTTTTTTTTTTTTTGTCAAAGTAGATTACAATATCAAGGCACAGACAGACATCATCAAAAAAGTTGTAAGAAGGTAACAAACAAACAAACCAACTGACCAAGTAACTGATCGTCTGGGGCGTGTTGCTCTGTCCCATCACCTCATGGAAGTGGTAGTCTGCGGTCAGCAGCAGTGGACAGGTGTTGTAGCGTGGGGGCGCCCTCTTCGTGCGACTTGACGTATCTGACACATTGAAATATTTCAATTTCAGTTATTGAGGGAATTTCAGATATTTTGTTTTGTGTTCATTTCAAAGCTGACAAACAGTTTTCTGGCAAGTAGAATTTAGTAAACTAGTGAGAGTTTGCGGTAACACCATGTACAGAATCTCTTTTGTGAGGAAGTGTGGTGCTGAAAAGAACGGTTGTGAAACTTGATGTTCCGATCAGTATGCTCCGATCGTCCTCAGAACCACACATCTTCTCAAAAGAGATCCTGCACATGGTGTTACCGCAAAGACTTTAGTAGTACAAAATATTGAGGCGACCTTTGGAGAAACGTAACATATTTCTGTTTGGCCCACTCTCAAGTGACAGTATGAGCGAAACAAACACATAGACATTTATGGGGTACCATTTCTGTACACCCTTGCGTCCCTACCATTTACTTTCTGCTTTTCGAAACACACCTTTAGCTAAATAATGGAGTGTCCAGCTTGCGAGTAAGACGTAAACAACTCCTTTTATGGAGATTGGCGCGTGCGTCGCGGGTATTGCGCGATGAGGCGCAGATGCAGCTGTGGTTAGTGCGTTGTGAATTTAGGACTATTAAATACTGACTCACTGGTAGTATTGCGCATGGCTACGTGAGGATTGTGAACATTCAACCAATAAAACGGTAAAAAGGCACTGGATTTCATAGGATCCAAATTTCATGTGACACTGGAAAAGAGTGTTTAAGACCAGCCAGCCAAGTCTTTAACATCCGTTTAAGACCGGCCACGTGATGGGCTCTCGACCAATAGCAATGGGTAAACTGTCTTAGGTATTTATGAAATAAATCTCAAACTCCATAACTTTCAATTGTCGGGGACTGAGTTTTCTAAGCACCAATTTGCGGGACGCTGGGATTTGAAATTGGCACAAACATTTGCGATCATCTTGGATGACTGCTGGGTCTGTCGGACTGTAACTTACACGGGCTGGTTTTTGGATGGGTCTGGAGCTGTTCTGCCGTCTTTTCATATTGGACGCCTTTTGGCAAGTGGTGATCGTACGGACAAAAAGACGACCTAAAAGTAGAAAGTAAAACTGTAAATATGTGACTACATGGAGAAGTAAGACTACATTACGGGGACTGCTTAAAGGGAAAATACAACATTTGCAAACATCAAAAAATAAAACTACCAAATCATTTTGAAATACCTTGCTGGACTGTTAGTGAATGACAGTGTAAAGCATCCTGTAAAATCATGGCACCTGGTATACTGTCATTTTCAAGAAAAGTGGTATTTTTGTATCAATTTCCAACGCTGGTCGGCTGACCAGCGTTGGAAAAAACTGGCTTTTTTTTCAAATACTGGCCCCAATTGACCATCGCACTTGTTTGCAATCGATTACACACCTATGAACGGGTACAAGCCAGCTAGACTGGTTCCCTGACCTTACAATTCCCCAATGTATGTAAACTGCTCTGTTTCTTCTTATATGGAGTCAGGGAACCAGACTACAGGAAAATGAATGTTTTTCTTGGTTTTTATAGCATTTTCGAACCCAAAACCTCAAAAAAGTCAGTGTAACTATATTTGCTATATATTTCCAACCCCCCAATTCCATCCATTTCTAAAAATTACAGCAAAAGCAAATGATGTATATTCCCTTTAATGGAGATTGCTGAGTTATTACAAACTTTGATTGGCAACTATTATATTGTGGTAAATATAACACTTTGGATAATTTTATAATTCACACTTCAAAAAAAAAAAAGATTTTTCAGTGGGGATATGACAAACTGTGTTTTCGTACTTACGTTTTGTTGCGTTTCACATCTGAGCTGCGGTAGGCGATCATGTGATAGTCATGTGGCTCTCGGATGTGCCTCCAAGACGGCTACACAGGAAAGACAAATAGTGTGAGTGATCACATGATGGCCATGTGAATAAAAGATGGTCATGTGACTCCATCCAAGTCACATGACCATGTGTCTTATAGTGAGATTCACATGAAGAATGGTTTCAATAACCAACAAAAAACAGAAAATAAATGACAGGACTGATAAATTAGAGTTAGAAATTTCTAACTAAAATAAGATATACTTTCTGCTTTAGAGATAAATACTTAATTTTGTTTTCCAATCAAAGTATATTGGCCGCTAAAAATAATTGGCCGTAATAAATTTTATTATCTTCAAGCAAACTTGTATACTCGATCTTGATTGGTCGATCCATGGCAACATCAGACTGATATTATAAATGAAGTGTATCACACGGTCCATATCGCACCTTGCGTATTGCGTTTTTCAAAGATGCGAGCGACATTCCAGCTGCATGCACTAAACCGCTACAAAGGTTCGCGTAAAGCGTGCTACATGTAGTTCCATCTTTTCCGTCAAGTTTGCTTGAAGATAAATTTGTGCTCGCGGAACACGGAAAATGTAGTGCGTCTGTGTCGTCCCACATACCCATGTGGGACACAGACCCAAGTGCTACATTATTCCGTGTTTCACGAGCGCGAGCGCGATAACTTATATAATTCAAATAATTCATAGCTATTTGTACCTCTATATTGTAGTGGTCCTTTGGTGCATAGATTTTAGCAGTGAGCAATCCATTGTCCACATGAGCTTTCACTACTGTTTGTGGTTCATCTAAAATAAAAATTCAAAACATTAACGACCAAGTAATTATAAATTGACTACAGAAATATTGTCAAATTGAAATTATTCAAAACTATATTAAAAATTTCCGTGATCCTATGTAGCATTTCAATCCTTACTCCCTTGGCAGTTTTGTTAGGAATCTTCCAGAATCCTACAAAATCCTCAACTGTGCAGGAACCCAATGGCACACTCTTTGTACCTACCAAGTTTCAAGTGGCATCAAGACTCATATAAATTAAAAGTGGTTGGGCTCTGCCTTCCTCAATCCTACAAAATCCTCCACTGTGCAGGAACCCAATGGCACACTCTTTGTACCTACCAAGTTTCAAGTGGCATCAAGACTCATATAAAGTAAAAGTGGCTGGGCTCTACCTTCCTCGATCCTACAAAATCCTCCACTGTGCAGGAACCCAATGGCACACTCTTTGTACCTACAAGTTTCAAGTGGCATCAAGACCCATATAAAGCAATAGTGGCTGGGCTCTACCTTCCTCAATCCTACAAAATCCTCCAAATGTTCCTGCTGGAATTTGAAGGATCAAGAAGGGGTTGGTGTTATTTCTATAGTGGAATCCGCAACCAGAATTACAGGCTTTTACTGCGGTGGTGTCATGTTCACGCGCATGCTGCACGCGTTCTTAAAGACGAGTCGCGCGTACATATTGGAATTCCTATTGGTCGAAGGAAACCGGAGTGCGTGTGTACTACCCGAGTGTGACTCGCGCGAGTCTGGCGCCACCGCAGTAAATAACTGCCGCCGGATTTGTCTATACCAATTTCTCGGGACTTTGTGTTACCTGCCAGAAATCCGGTGTAAAAATTCTCGGTGTCGACGGGATGTTCTCGCTTATTTCCCTGTCCATCGACCACAAACGCCTTGAAATCCTGCGAGAACAAGTTGGTCTGCTGGGCAAGACGGATATCAAATTGCCTGTAAAAAAAATTAATAAATAAAAATAATTAATTATTGCGAAGTATGTACCAAAGTAACCAACAACAATAATCAAATTTAAGCAGCTTTATAGCACACTAACAGGAAACTATAAGTGTCTTTTACGCACTATACTTACATGTACAAGACCACAATAATGATGGGAAAAGTCTGAGATTTCAAAATCCAGGGGCAAATTTCACGGCGCTGCTAAGCACAAAAATTTGCTTAGCACAAAAAAGTCTGGCTTATAAAAGCAGGTTACCAGCCAAAACTCCATGTGATGTTTATTGCTTGTGATTAATATTCAGCTGTTGACTGCTTAGCATGAAAATCACATGGAGTTTTGGCTGGTAACCTGCCTTTATAAGCCAAACTTTTTTTGTGCTAAGCAAATTTTTGTGCTTAGCAGCGCCGTGAAATTGGGCCGCAGAATAATGATCTGATTTATATGGGACTTCCCATCCAGCTTACAGTCATGTCATCAAAAAGTGCCGACATTTAGTGATTTTAGACATACTTAGACTGTGTCATAAAAAATGGAAGACTTTATTTCAAAGGTTGGTTTCGAATATCTACTTGCCAAAATCCAAACCCTACAGTAGAATTCAAACCAAATTTTTAAAAATTCCGATTTTAATCCTAGCACTAGACTAAACAGCGCCCTCTTAACATAATGCACAAGGCCGTAAACAAACAAACTTGACTACGCAATATTTATTACAACAGGTAGGGGAACATCCTAGTTACGAGCCGACTGAATTTCTAAAACAAATACACCTACATATGTACCTGCCCTGAACAATTCTCAATAACAGGATGTGTTTCGTTTGACATTTGAGTCACATTCTGTCCCAGATTTACCACATCCTCTGAAACAGGCAGCAGGGGAAAAATGATAAACACATATACGTGACTCTTTTTTTCTTCTTCTTCTTTTTTTGGCATACGTACTGGTACATTGGAATCTTCGTGATAGATTAATTTATCAAAGTCAGCATTTTGTCTTATTCTGAATGTACGCCTACTTCTTATGATCATACAAACTAGTCCATATTGGGTTTTGCCTTAATAATAATAATGTGCATTTATATACATGTAGCGCACATATACACCAGTATTGGTGCTCAAGACGCTACATCATTATTACCCTGCTCATTGGGTCAATGGAACATTCCAAATACCACCTCAGCTCCCTGGGAAGAAGACAGCTCGATTGCTGCCATTTCGGCGCAAAGCAGCTAACATCAACCACAATAACCATCTCTGCCCTAACAGGTACCCAATTTACTCCTGATTGGGGAGAAGCAATGAGTGACAAACCTCCAGAATTGCCTGCAGACCACGAATTCATTGCTCCAGACCAGAAGGCCAAGACATTCCACTTTCACCAATGTGATTTCATGAACACTGTACACTAGTGTTTATCAGGTGGGAATCGAACCCATGATCTCCTCCTTACTACTAGCGCAGCCATCAGACACATGGACGGGTGAGGGGGAGGGGTACTAGGGGGAGGGGGAGGGGTACTAGGGGGAGTGGGAGGAGTAAGGGCTAAGGGGAGGGGGGGGGGAGAATATTTGTACATTTACTTACCGACCCATCATCGACAATGACACTTTTCTCTCCTGATTTTCGCCATCTTCTACACTTCGTCTCACTATGTGGTGTTTGACATCATCTTTGTGTAGTGTCTCCCAGTACTTCAGTACATGGTGCAAACTTGCTGTAAACCAAGTGATGAAAAACATGTCATTTTCTTATTTTAATTAATGACATACAATTTTACATGCTTGTACTTCTTATCCCTCATTAATATTTGATTGCTGTCCCAAACAAGATACCAAAAAGTGAGACATGTTTAGGTCAAGTAAAAAAAAAAATTAACCAGTTTCTCATCTCTGCCCACTTTCTTTTTCGTGTCTGCCTCCTTTTAACTGTTTTTGATGTTCAAATTCAAGAATACATTTGCAGTATAATTTGCAAATATATTGTCAATATGTTGTCTTTTTATTTGCTTCCTAGGCCATGTTCGTGTAGAAATTGGACACAATATCAACGTGTACAAATGACCCTCAAGTTAAATAAACTTGCACTTTGCAGTAAAGTCCCAGTATTTGGGTCCCATTTATGGGGCTATGTCAATCAGCGAAAGAGTTGAAAAAAATGGAAGAATCCATCCGCTATCTTGGAAAATCTGTCATCGTGGGAAAAAAAGGGGAAAAATGCTGGCTTTTTCATTTTTTAAATAGGCCTAGGCCTAATTTTAATGTTTTTGTCAGGGAACCAACATGAACCAGAAAGTTCCGTAACGATAGCAGTTGAAAATCGTGTTACCAGGTTACAGCTGCAGTAAAGATACAGTACGGTGGCACTTTGACATAAACATTCGGAAAAAAAATTTGCAACCTGACGCCACTTTTTTCTTCATGTATCATCTCAATGAAAGTCAGTCATTGCAAACATGATAAGACATGAATCTGATACTGTGAAACATTTCCAGTTTTGTTAGGAAATAATTAGAAAATGTTCTTGACTCTCGATAGACTAGCCCCATAAATGTGGCCAATTTACTGGACTACCTCCGTAAAAGTAGGCCACACGTCCACCATGTACAAAAACATGTCGCACTTTGTCAAATTTTGATTTTCACATTTAGGCTTAGTTTATAGTTTATTTTTGCTTAAGAAGCATACTCACCCTCTTTAAAAGCTAATCAGAAAGTGCTGCCTTTTTCAGATGTCTATTTTTCGTGAAATTTCAAGATTTGTTTTCACACGTTTTCGTATCAAAATTTCAACATGAAATTTCACGAAAATTGTGAAAATCAAAATTTGACAAAGTGCGACATGTTTTTGTACATGGTGGACGTGTGGCCTATGTTTACGGAGGTAGTCCAGTAAATTGGCCACATTTATGGGGCTATCCATAGACATGACAGACTTTGTACAGGTGGCGTCAGGTTGCAACATTTTTTCAAAACATTTCTAGTAGTAGTAGTAAACTGAAAACATATGGTTTATTCCATATAAAACATTCACAAATGACTAGCTGGCATCAAGTTGAATTATATAGTGAAGTACTAGCCATTCTGGCATATAAATTCTGTAGCTTTTCCTAGAAAACAATACGTCTCCAAAGTGTCGGAAAAACACGTCAAATTGGATTCATTTGTCATGTTTGTGTATATAAACCAACAACCAATTTCCAAACACACTTGCCATTCGATTTAAACACACTGACATCAACTAATATCACAAAGTAAAGAGCACATACTAATTTCGAGGCCATTATGATTTATAAATATACAAAAATAATAGAGAAGAAAGCAGGAACAAATGTTAAAATTGTTGACAATCTTTCGCCGTGAAGAAAGACAAGTTCTCGTCGGCCATGTTTTGACTGGATGATTAGCATACTGTGTCAAAGATTAAAAAAGTTCAGACGATAACCCCCCCCCCCCAAAAAAAATTGCTGTCTTGTGTTTTTTCTTTTCTGGAAAATCCCCACGTTAAATTGGGAATTTTCAACATCATTTGCTGAGAAATTTGTTGTCTTGTATTGAGTAAGGAATAAAATGGTAAAAGTCTATTTTTATGGAAGAGACAACTTTTTTTAGGGGGGGGGTAAAAGTATGAGGTAGTTATATATGACATGAATTATCACCTTTTTCTACAGAATTCAAGCATGTTGATTTTCTGTTCTCCACGTTCAGTTGAAAGTGTAAAATACTATATTTGAGCAATCTATGGTCGAAAGTTCTAGAACACCCCCCCCCCCCCCCAACCACCAAATCCATCATCAATAAATATAAACAACTTTATCTTCAGTTCAGTTCATAATGATCAAAAACATCACTCAGCCAATATGATTTCATATCTGTTTTAATGCAATCATTCTTTCATGCAACAAAACCCGGCAATCAACATACAAAACTACACATGTGAAAAGCAGTATTTATTACTATTAACAAATACTTATTTGTTGTCTTGTTTTCCTTGAATAAAATCAAAGAATTTTAACCACATCAAAAACATCAGGAAAACTTCAAGCATTTCAGCATATATTGGGTTAAATTATATTGATGACAAGTGAATAATAGTCTCAAGCATCCTGTAAATCATGGTACCTGGTGTGCTGACATTTTCAAGAAAAATGGTATTTTTGTATCAATTTCCAACGAAGGTCAGCCAACCATAGTTGTGTGAAAAACTTATTTTTGTTTAAATACTGCCCAAATTTACCAAATTTAAGTTCTAGTCCACATTTTGTTTGCAATTGGTTATACATCCGTGAATGGATGCAAGCCAAGTCTGGTTCCCTAACCTGATAATTCCCTGACATCTATAAATTGTTCCATTTTATCTGAAGTAGGGTCAGGGAACCAGACTACAAGAACAGCATTTTTTTCTTGGTTTTTCCAGCATCTATGAATACAAAACTTTAAACAGGTCAGTGTAACAATATTTGCCTAAAAAATTCTAACCCCCAAATCCATCCATTTCTGAAAATTAAAGCGAAAGCAAAAGTTGTATATTTCACCTTTTAGGGGCACTAATCACAAAACAGAACCCATATGTTTATAATGTGAGTAACATTAGTAACGCTTCAAACCTAGAAAATATCACTCGCAAAGGATGCAGATTTTGTTTTCTTTATTACAAATCATCCGATAACATTTTCAATTTCAAGTGTGAATATTTATGATGTTTAAACTCTCCCAATTATCACGAGGTTCGTGTCGAGTACATGTCTTTGTCTTCTGGATTGGCCATCCCGTGGTCGGCTGATGGTTGCGTTGAGTCACTAGAGGGCGCTGTTTCAGAAGCGTTATCTTCGGACGTCGGTGTATCTTCTTGTGCTAGAGATGGATTCTCTGATTCTGTTTCCTTCTTCTGCAAATAACAAAAAAATGGGAATTGCATTGATAGGGCGGTGAAATCTGGGCAAACAGTGACCAGTATTTTTTACTTGACACGAAGGACCAACCTAGTTTCTGACTGAGTTACTGGCTGACTAAGTCACTGACTGAGTATAAATAATTTCTAATTCAACTAGGCAAGCCTAAATTAATAACTAACTCTCCAGAAAAATACCTTTGAAATACTTTGCTGGACTGTTAGTGAATGACAGTGTAAAGCATCCCGTAAAATCATGGCACCTGGTATACTGTCATTTTCAAGAAAAGTGGTATTTTTGTATCAATTTCCAATGCTGATCGGCCGATCAGCGTTGGAAAAAACTGGCTTTTTTTCAAATACTGGCCCCAGTTGACCATCGCACTTGTTTGCAATCGATTACACACCTATGAACGGGTACAAGCCAGCTAGACTGGTTCCCTGACCATACAATTCCCCAATGTATATAAGCTGCTCTGTTTCTTCTTAAATGGAGTCAGGGAACCAGACTACAGGAAAATGATTGTTTTTCTTGGTTTTTATAGCATTTTCGAACCCAAAACCTCAAAAAAGTCAGTGTAACTATATTTGCTATATATTTCCAACCCCCCAATTCCATCCATTTCTGAAACTTACAGCAAAAGCAAATGATGTATATTCCCTTTAAAAGAAAGTTGTTCGACTAGAGCCTTACCTTGCCAGATCCTTGACTCATCTTGCCTTGGACCCTGTCGATGACTCCACTTCCGATACTATCCCTCCAGAATGACTGCAATGACTGGTACTCTGCCTTGGTAATCTTAACGACCTGGTAAGGATAGCAGACGGACGCTGTGGCCGTCATCAGAACACCGGAGTATAGAACCTTACGGAACACTCCCCCTAGACGACAAAATTAAACAAAAATGATTCACAATTTTTTGGAGAACCATTGGTTAGAAGTGTACAATCAATTGCTTGTTTGAACGAGAACGGACTAATGCAGGATTCTAGCCCGTAACCTCTGGAATGCTACATCAGGGCCTGATTTCACGACTCTAATGATCACTGAATTTATTCAGCGCTAGCACAGAAACCTGTAAGCACGGAATTCTTAGTTATGGGACTTATACGTACTGCTAAGCCAAGATTCCTAGCTTACCTGTGCAATGCGCTAACTGCTTATCCACTATCTGCTTAGTGCAGCATTTTCTGCTATTGTCAGCAGAGATTTCACTTACAATAAGCAAAGTCCTCAGAAGCTATGTAGAGTATTGTGTCCATTTCCAAAACTAAAACCACCAACGAACGGCTGGATAGCTCAGTTAATAGAACTTTAGTGCAGTCTTCTTGAGGTCCGAGGTTCAACTCCAAATTAGAAAACACAAGTAAAGAAAATGGGACGACAGCTGGATTCGAACTTGCAACCTCCGAGATGCTTGACTGGTGTTGCACCAATACCTTCCTGCCAACATACTGCTGGATAACTCAGTTAGCAGAACTTTAGTGCGGCATTCTGGAGGTCCAAGGTTCAACTCCCAGTTAGAAAACATGAACAAAGAAAATTGACGGCAGCTGGATTGGAACCTGCAACCTCCAAAATGCTGGTGCTGCACCAACTGAGCCTTCAAGCCCAATTTCAGGTACATGTAGCTCAGTTGGTGGTGCACTAGTACGGAATTCCCAAGGTCCAAGGCTCGAATCCCACCGACTTAATATTTTGTGATACCTTTCCTGGCCAGAACTACTCCGGTCAGACCGGCCAGTGCGATGGCAGAGACTCGTGGGTAGAAACCTTCCTCCGTCTTGATGTAAGCGATGATGTCTATAAGACAAAAGAGTGGGATCTTGAATACGACTGATGCCAAGGTGGGAAGAAAAATCGAGACTAGAGATTCTTTTTGGCGAGAAAAAGGAAATGAGTACATGAAGGCCTACAATTTTAACCCCAACTCCCTCGACATTTTTGCTAGGATGCAATCTCAATCCTGCAAAATCCTCCAATTGCCTCAAAATTGCATACAGCCTCAATCCTCCAAAGTCATCCGTTGTTTCTTGAATGTGGTCCTTGGAGGACTGACCGCTGCCTCAATCCTGCAAAATCTTCCAGCAATCACTGTCAATATGTTGAGGCAGAGCCAGTGATATCCTGGAGCAGTGCAGAGGATTTCAAGTATAATTTAGACCTAAATTTATGCACGGCTGAGCATAAACAACACAAGGTCCGGCTGAAGACCTTGACACAGTGCATCCTCCAAAATCAGCCACGCATTTTTGCCATATAGCCTCAATCCTGCAAAATCCTCCATTTTGCAAAGAGGACTTTGGAAGTTTTGGGTTTAGGAACATCAATTCAATGCTCCCTTTAATGTACTCTCAAATAAAACCACAGAATTTTTTTTTCAAAGTCTTTTGTTTTTTAATACGTACCCTGTTCTGTCTTTTCAACGAATCTGTAGGCTTGTTTAGTTTTCTCAACCGCACCCTGTTAAAGGGAAAATACAACATTTGCAAACATCAAAAAATAAAACTACCAAATCATTTTGAAATACCTTGCTGGACTGTTAGTGAATGACAGTGTAAAGCATCCTGTAAAATCATGGCACCTGGTATACTGTCATTTTCAAGAAAAGTGGTATTTTTGTATCAATTTCCAACGCTGATCGGCCGATCAGCGTTGGAAACAACTGGTTTTTTTTTTCAAATACTGGCCCCAATTGACCATCGCACTTGTTTGCAATCGATTACAAACCTATGAACGGGTACGAGCCAGCTAGACTGGTTCCCTGACCTTACAATTCCCCAATGTATGTAAACTGCTGTGTTTCTTCTTATATGGAGTCAGGGAACCAGACTACAGGAAAATGATCGTTTTTCTTGGTTTTTATAGCATTTTCGAACCCAAAACCTCAAAAAAGTCAGTGTAACTATATTTGCTATATATTTCCAACCCCCCAATTCCATCCATTTCTGAAAATTACAGCAAAAGCAAATGATGTATATTCCCTTTAAGAACATTCACTTATCCCTTCCATTTTACCTCAACTGACTCTGAAAATTTCCAGATATTCTGCCTGACGACTGAAACAGCCTGGTACACGTAGCCACTGGTGTCAATTGGTTCTAACCGGTACTCCGCTTCACTGCTGGGCTCGTCGTAAATCGGCAACTCCTTTGGCAAGACTCTTCTTCGCCTTGGTTCCCCTGGAATGGGAAGAGCCTCCGCTTTCAGCACTGGAATCCCAAGAGCCAGGCTAGCAGAGCCGGCCACTGCAGGCAGTGCTGCTAATTTTAATAACCTTCTCATCTGTAAAAAAAAAACACAAGAAAATAGTTCCCTGACTATATAGTATTCAATGTCAGGATCTTTCACTGTTGGAACCAGACTAACCGACAGATCTCGGATTTTAGTTCCCTTAAAAAAAATCATCAAAAAAAAGAACGATTTGACTAAAATATAAACATAAAACTTAGAGTAGGAAAAAGAAAACTTTCAAAGAAAAACAAGATGAAACAAAAAAAGTGCACAGTGCGGGCTTTGATCCGGTATCCCAGAACCTTCGACACACAGTAGCTGATTGTTTAACTAATTCAACCAATCAAGCTACCAAAGCGCTCTGGTTATGAAGAAAGTTGTAAATTAATGTGATGATAATTCGCAATTCAATAGTGTTTTTGCACTTGCCGCCGCGCCTGTAGTTAGTTGAAAATTATGAATGATAGCCGTAACGATAGCCACTACAAAACAAAAGTGTCTTTTCGTTGTCTTAATATTGAACAGGGTCCTAAACTACACAATTACATTATCAAAAACTAAATTTATTACAATAGTCATTATTAAAAACTAAATTTAACTCTACCTGCTGTGTTGCCATTTTGCAGTCTGCAAAATTCTTCTGATGCAGCGCGCCACCAACGGTGAACTTTTACATATATCAGTCGGGTACCCAAAGCAAGAAACTAATTGGATATGAATTGTGTATCTGATGAGTATGGTACCATACCTTCGTTGCTCTACGTACAAAATATGACTGGTACTTTGTGGGGTATTTAAACGCCACTGAAATACGCGATATCGGGAATGCGATACCAGCGAAAAGTTGCGATCACATTGCACAACACTGCGCCGCGTGCGGACTGGGTATTTTTGCGCGAAATATTTTACTGAATTTGAAGTCCGATCAAAAATTCAAAGACATGGAGTATTTAGATGAAAACCAGACGAGCACACAAGGCACAATGTGAGTTCAATTTGTTATTTCTGTAATTGCTTTTTTTTGGTTCGAAATCATGATTATTGTGGATCTCTCAATTTTTTTTTTTGGCAGGCAAATTCGACATCATCATGCAGTCTCAATAGAGGGCGCTACATAAATATAATTATTCGAAAATAATGAAATCATTTTAAATAATTTTATTTGAATACAGGCTACAGCCTAGGTGTAATTAGGCCCTGGGTATTATTATTTTTTTAACATCTTGTTTGTGATGACCAAGCAAGGCAAAAACGTCACAAGTACAAAATAATGAAAAAAAAAATCCTTATTCAGGATGTAGGCTAATTTTTAATCATTCAAATTTCCTATTTGCAATGTGAACTTTTTGACTTTAGTTTTCAATCAAAGTATTTGGGTCAACTTTGTAATTTTTTTCCCCTAATTTTCAACCCGCAGTCTGTGCTGCCAGTGTGGAACACCGATCCAGCCGAACCCAGCCAACATGTGTGTGGCGTGCCTGCGCACCCAGGTAGACATAACAGAAGGCATCCCCAAACAAGCTGTGTTGTATTTCTGCAAGGCATGCGAACGGTATGTTACAAATCCTTCCAGTTCAAGTGCAATACACCTGTTAACTGATTTGCATATGTAAATGATTGGTTACAGACAAAAGCTAATTTGCATAACCATAGTTCATTGGTTACAGACTTTAGTTGATTTGCATATTTAATTGATTGGTTTTAGACTCAAGCTTATTTACAACTGATTGGTTACAGACTAAACCTAATTTGCATATGTACATTACTACATAATTGCTTTGTGACTGACACTGAAGCTAATTTGCATATATAATTGATTGGTTTTGGAGTCAGGTACCTGCAGCCCCCTGCCCAGTGGATCAAGTGTGCCTTGGAGTCCAGGGAACTACTTGCACTCTGCCTCAAGAAACTCAAAGGACTGAGCAAGGTAACAGAGCGAGTTCCAAATTCATTTGAAAATTCCGGATTCTCAATACTGGGTGAAGCCATGCAAAACAAGAGAATAGACTTCTGCATAAAACTACCAGTCCAACTATTCTTTGGTTCTACGTGACAGTCTTAAAAATCATGGTGCCCTGTCTTTTTTTTATAAAGTTTATCTATAGTCATGCCACCAGACTACCAAATGGTTCAAACCTTGAAAAGTTGGACATGAATTAGTCTACTCTTAGGCTTACAATGTGCCCAGTGGCTTCATCCGCTAATGCAAAAAAGAATGAAGCATTCTGTCCGTTAAAATATGCTTGAAGATTTGCCTCTGAAGAAGTCCATGGTAAGGATGAAATATAAGGCCACTCTAATTTTTTGACTTAAATATGTTTGAGGTAAAGTGAAGACTTCATGTTTGTTTTGTGGAAACTTCAGAGAATATTGTTTGCCAAAGTGTGAGTAAAGTTTTGCCTGAACTTGCCTTGTATGAGTTCCTACTTTTGAGATGCTCCCTTAGCCGATGAAATTCTGATTATTTTCTCACCTCCCAGGTCCGACTCGTCGACGCTGGTTTCATCTGGACCGAGCCGCATTCCCGTCGCATCAAGCTTAAGCTGTCCATTCAGAGAGAAGTGATGGGCGGGGCCGTCCTGGAGCAAGTCTTCATCGTGGAGTTTGTCGTCCAGACTCAGATGTGTCCTGACTGCCACCGGGTTGAGGCAAAAGACTTCTGGAAAGCTGTAGTGCAGCTCCGACAAAAGGTCCGTTGTTGACCATGGCCAAATAATCTTCACCCTTAATGCTGTTCGAGACAGTGTTGTAGAACTCGTACTCGAGTACATTTTTTTGGTACTTGTGCGAGTTGTACTCATGGAAAAAAAATCGCCTTGTAATCGTACTCATACTCAGACTCTGACTTGTACTCATGACAAGGTACTCGAACTCATACTTGAACTCATGGCAAAGTACTCATACTTGTACTCATGGCAAAATACTCATACTCGTACTCATGTCAAAGTAATCATACTTATTCTCGGACTCAGAGACGTACTCTTGACAAGGTACTCGTACTCATACTCCAACTCATGGCAAAATACTCATACTCGTACTCATGGCAAAATACTCATACTCGTACTCATGGCAAAGTAACCGTACTCATTCTCGGACTCAGAGACGTACTCAAGACAAGGTACTCGTACTCATACTCGAACTCATGGCAAAGTACTCATACTCGTACTCATGGCAAAGTACTCATACTCATACTCATGGCAAAGTACTCATACTCGTACTCATGGCAAAGTACTCATACTCATGGCAAAAGTACTCATACTCATACTCATGGCAAAAGTACTCATACTCATACTCATGGCAAAAGTACTCATACTCATACTCATGGCAAAAGTACTCATACTCGTACTCATGGCAAAAGTACTCATACTCATGGCAAAAGTACTCATACTCATGGCAAAAGTACTCATACTCGTACTCATGGCAAAAGTACTCATACTCATGACAAAGTAATCAAACTCATATTGGACTCATACTCTTACTCATGACAAGGTACTCATACTCGAACTCATGGCAAAGTACTCGTACTCATGGCAAATTAATCATACTCGTGCTCATTGAAATATACTCGACTACAATGCTGGTTTGAGAGCGTCTTCAGTAAAATGTTCAAGCTTCGATGTGTTGGACTCAAACCCACGACCTCTTAAACAAGTGAGAACAAGGTACTGGGTTCGAGCCCCACCCTAGCGACACAGTGATTGCTTCAATATTATGTGGGGTGTTTGGCAGTTCACAGTTGTCTGAGGACTTGAACCCATGACCTAACCAGAAGCTGGAAGAAGTGGTTCGAGTCCTTCCCGAGCTAAACAGAGATTGCATTTTTAGTTTGTTTTGCTCTTTAGTGGTGTTATTTCTTCGGCATTTTCCGGTTTTTCCAGACGTCACACAAGAAGACGTTCCTGTATCTCGAGCAGTACATCCTGAAGCACAACATGCACGTCAACACGCTGAACATCAGGCAGCATGACGGTGGACTGGACTTCTACTACACCACGAAGGACCATGCTAGCAAGATGGTGGATTTCCTGATGGGCGTGGTGCCTTGCAAGTAAGAACCAGTGTAAACACTAATTGCAGTATTGGTCCCAGACTGAGTTTTTTAATTTTGTAAATTTTTCCAAAGCAAGCCGATCCCTGGCAAATGCGATCAATCTGCCTTGTCAATAGAGGGCGCTATTGAGGAATCACATCCGAGCGTACCTCACGTGTGCTACATTCACAGTAACGCAGCTTAGCAGGAACAGGCTGCAACAAAATGGGGGGAAAAACAAATTCAGTCTCGGCACCAAACAACCTCAATTGTGCTTACGAGTCAGAAAACAGCGAGCATTTCAAGGCTGGTTCTTGCCACGACGACCTCTGACCCGGGTCAACAAATTTAAATATTCACGAACACTCTCTTAAGCTGCATCTGTGTTGAAATCTTTGCAGCCTCAATATAAACTCTAACCTTCAGACTGTTCAAAGCTTCTTGTTCGCATTAACAAAACTTGATTTGTTTTTTTCTTTCAATAATTTCTTCATATTTTCAGGTATAAGACATCTCAACAACTTATATCCCACGATGTGCACAACAATACCTACAACTACAAGTACACTTTCTCCGTCGAGATCGTGCCAGTGTGCAAGGTATGTTGTAGTACATTGAATTACATTGTATTACATTGTAGTACATTGTATAACATTGTATTTATTGTCTGAATCCATAATACAACACAGGGCTGGGGTGGTTTTGGGCGGTACATAAATTAATGGGTAGTTAGCGTGAATTTTTTGAAAGTTCATAAACACTACTTGTTCAGTGTTGTCATTTCATTAATTGTGATGATGTCAATAATTCTTTTGATTTTGTTGAATTTTTGTCTTAGGACAACGTGGTCTGTCTTCCAAAGAAGCTAGCCCGGTCGCTAGGCAACATCGGTCAGATATGCATCTGTACCCGCGTGACCGCTGCCATACAGGTCATTGATCCACTAACGTTACAAGGTAAGTGCTTTTTGCGAAGGTCTCGTAAAAACAATGTCTCAAGAACTAGTAGTTCATTTTAGTTCATTTTTAATTCGGCAAAGCTGTGGATGGGTGCGCGCAAGCGTTGACACGACACACATGTGTGCACAGTTGCTACAGTTCGTCGTTCAGTGCGTGACATCGCGTAGCTGCAATCTGCTGAATGAGAACGTGTCCCAGATGCTGATTTCAAGCGAAATTCAAAACACGACTCGGCAACTTTTGAATCAAAATCATGATCCTAGAAAATAGTTTTCTCGGAATATACAGCATTCACTGAGCTAGAACTTTGTCAGGTTAGTTAAGTTGTTAAGCACCTTTCTTCAGAATTTGAGCACTTTTGTTGCTTCAAACGAAAAAAATGTACAAATGACAAATGATATAATCTACCTTTAATCACGTTCAACTTGAATTTGCATGGCATGGAACGCAAGTTCCAATATTGTGTTTGATAAAACTACAGTATACCGATGTTTTCAATTGTTCAGGGATATTTTTCTTTCGTCCTTCTCGTAGTGGCCGAAATTCCAGCCAACAACTACTGGCGGAGCCCTTTCAACAGCCTCTGCGATCCGAAACAGTTAACGGAATACACCGTGCTGCAAGTGGAACGCATCGAAGACCGGGAAAGACGCCATGTTGCCGGGGAAGGCTCACGGTCAAACAAGGTATGGCAGGCAGAAAAAACAATGTAAAGAAAATATAAAAAAAATATGGCAGACACAATTTTTTTTTTTTAAATTGCCTTATTTTCTTTTAAGATGTAATGTGATTGTGGTGATTTTTGGTTAAAAAAAGTATGAAAAAGTTACTCTATTGATGTATTATTCCGAATTCTATCCCCCCCCCCCTTCACCTTTCCAGCATTTGTTGGCCGACGTGTGGGTGATGCGAAGCCAGGATCTAGGGGTGTGCGACACCCAGTACCACTGTCGCAGCCACCTAGGCCACCTATTGTCAGCCGGTGACTTGGTTACTGGTTTTGACTTCACGCGGACAAATGTCAACGACGCGAATCTTGAACAGGTCAGTAAAATTACCTAGGGGAAGGGGGAGGGTGAATTTTGATAAGGCTTTTTTGAGATATGGCAGACAAAATAGGACGCTATTTCGTATCAGTAAATTTGGGTAAATACCAATAACAGTTAAACCCGGACCAAATAGCGCCCTCGTATGGTGTCCTTAATTTTCAACAGAAACGGGTTACCACCCAAAATTACATGTGCTGTATGTTGCGTTTCACTGGTACACTGGACATCCGCTATCTAGTCTTTATATAGAGATCACTGCTTTGGACTAACGTCCTTTTTTTTTTTTGCTTCTTAGATGAAAAGCGATGTTCTCCCCGATGTGGTCCTCATTAAGAAACACTATGGCAACCACCAAAAGCGCCACCGCAGGCGAAACTGGAAACTAAAGTCGTTGCGTAAGGAGGAGGAAGGCGTGGATCCTGACAAAGCAGACAGGTAAGTTCAAAGAAAAAATTCACAAAATGTTCAATAAATGAAAGCCGATCAACCTCATGCCCAGGGTGTACTTAAACCATGGTTCACTATAGTAGACCCTGGCAGGAAATCCAGTTTCCTTTAATTTGATTGGCTAATTGTTGCTTAATTAACGATTTTTTCAACCTTGTTCCCAGGGATTACATAGGCTTCCTTGAGGATCTGGAGGAAGACGTGGACTACAGGAAGAACATCAACATCTACAAAGGTAGGTGGATGCTGTTGCTATGGCGACACTTTTCGCTAGTCTCAAATACAAAACAATCTTCATTACTTACTCAAATTGTCAAAAACATTGGGAGGGTGTATCTGTTTGTGCAATGAAACGTGGGTTTGAACCACGATGGAAAGTTGTATCTATGTTCTTGGGCAAGACACTTTACTACAATTTCCCCTTGGGTACCTGTGATCACGGATGGAGACCAGATTGCATTAACATTGCTGGGTTTAACAGTTATGAAAATAAGGTTATATTGTTGCAAGTTTAAACATTACTACAGCTCAAAAATTATTTTTTACAATATTTTTCATTTTTAGATTTAAGTAAAGTTACGAAATTGCTTCGTATTGTAATACCGGTAACTGTTGGATTTTTAAAATTTTGATTTGTTTAGACCGCAGTAAGGAAGTAACGGTCGAGTCTAGCGACGATGACGATGCGCCCCGCATCAGTTTGCAGGAGATGCTTGACGACCTGCATCTGACAGATGACGAGGAACAGCTTGCTATGCAGGATGAGGCTGCTGCCATAGCAACTCAGTGAATTATGGGTAGTCCAATGAGTTATGGGTATTCCAATGAATTATGGGTATTCCAGTGAATTATTGGGTATTACAGTGAATTATGGGCAGTCAGATGCATTATGGGTAATCTGGACAGTGAATTATGGGTAGTCCAATGAGTTATGGGTATTCCAATGAATTATGGGTATTCCAGTGAATTATGGGCAGTCAGATGCATTATGGGTAATCTGGACAGTGAATTATGGGTAGTCAAGTTCTGGCCTCTTTTCTGTATGGTTCTTGGTTGGTTCATCTCCTAAATACTCCGCGTGGGCGTTTATACAGGAGGCCAGAAACACCGGGGCAAACCCCTTCTCTTAGCGATAAGTGTCACTGGGTTCTTTTACGTGCATTGGATTACACAACACACGGGACCTACGGCTTTACATCCCATCCGAAGGACGAAGCAATAATGGTTACGTGCCTTGCTCAAGGGCACAAGCGTCCACCCGGTGGGCTGGAACCCACGCCACTGTTGCCTCTGAAACACCAGAGCACGAGTCCGGTGTTTTTAACCGCTAGGCCATGACACTCCAATGGATATAGATAGTACAGGGATGTCACCACAATTTTCGTCCGGATTTTGCAAATTTAAAATGGCAGTAGTCAAAGTTCAGAATGGGAGTTTGTGGGGACATTTCTGTGAATACAACTATAAAGAATTCCACTCAACACGGCTTCGTTTGTCTCATTTCAGTCATGTTTATTCAAACAATCTATGATTTTGAGTCTGTACAGATAAATTAATAAATACTTCCTTTCACTCAAAAAATCCAAAAAGCACAAACCAAAAGCACACAGCTTTTGTTTCCATTCCACACAAATTAAACAAAAACCGAAAAATTATTTTTAAAAAATCCTCAAATAGATGTTTGTACATGATTAAATTTTTTGGTACAGTTGGTGAATTAGACTTGACCTAGTCAACTGACTCTCCTGTCACAAGTACAGGAACAAAATTCTGTTCAGTAGGCTACTTGCCACCATGGAGAAAATGTTTACAAAAAATGTAATATCCTTTAATGAGAAAAATGCTGTTTATCTAAAAGCTTAAAATTATTTTCAAATGAACCACAAAGGGAAACTGACTAGGTAAATTATTACAATTTATTGAAAAGTTAAACAAAGAAATTGACTGGAGCGGGGTTTGAACCTGCGACCTCCAGATTGCCGCTCCAGTGCTCTACCAACTGAGCTATCCAGCCCTATGTTGGCGGTCCCCAATTCGTCGATATTTTTTGGTCAAAGGGCGCTAGCTAGAAGCCATAACCCATATATGCCATGCAGCCAGGGATGATGCCCAAAGTCATGTCAATTTGTTTGTTCAACTTTTCAATACAAAAGCTTTTCATGTATTTAAAATATAATTAATAAAAACAAAGCAGCAAAAAAAGGCCGGCAAAAAAAAGTCTCCGGTTTCTGGTATGCACGTGTGTTGCCGTAGCCATGCGCGTCGGCAAAATGAAAAAGTTTTTTTTTTCTATAAAAGATGATGTCTCAAAACCGCCAAACTCACTGGTTTGACTGGAATCCTGCTGCTGCACAATTTTAACGTGTTTTTAGATGGGGTTATGATCGAGAATAAGCTTTATTTGGCCTCTCTGGACTCTCATCATATTTGCACTGAGTTTAGTTGGGCACCATTTGCAGTCATCAGCCGGCATTTGAAGCAAAAAAAACAGGTTAAAAAAAAAAAAAAAAGCCGCGTCGCCGCACCACTTTTTGGGCAAGCTCCATACCAGAAACCGGAGACTTTTTTTTTTGGCCTAACAGGTGTTCTGTTGGTTTATGACAAAAACCTTGAATTAATGAACTTGAAATGCAGTAGCATATATAATCCGGTTTTATGTTTCCACGCATATAATTATGCCCGAGTTAAATAGTTATGGACAGTAACACATGTAATGAATATTTGCTGAAATTCATGAAATTTTGTTGAATTATAAAAAAACCTTTTCCTTGTATGCGATTCTGAACGTTTGCATTTAAGCTTACAATCATGGTTTCTGTAAGGCCGAATTTAGTTGGCTACGGCTAGATACGCACACAGGTCTATGGAAAGTGGCTGCAGCCGTTTCATATAGCCGCGTGTGTAATTTCCTGACACGGCCTAGAAAGAAAACCTGCTAAGCACGAAAAATATTTGCTTACCAAAAACAGGTTACCAGCTAAAAATATCACACTTTCTGTATTGCTTGCAACTGGTTCCCAGCAAATTTTTGCTTAGCGTTTTAAACTGGTTAAGCACCATTCTCTGCTCAACAGCAACGACAATAAAATTGGTTACCAACCAAATTTGTGTGCATTGTGGATAGCTTTTTTTTTTAACTGGTTCACTGCTCAATTTTACTCAAGCAATTTTTGCTACACAATACGGGTGTGTATCTGAACCCAATACCGACCACTGATGTCGGTAACCGGTTATGGATTGGGTACCTGTAACCAATTTACAAATTACTTAGTAACTTCTAAGACAAGGTAAAAGAAAGATTTTGAATGCCGTTTGTGAGGAATTTTCAAAATGAAAACCAGGCGACATGGAAAACCAATACAGATTTCACATTGATGTGCATTTTAAGGCACGACAGATGACGCTCGTGAAAGTTTCAGTGTACACTGCAAAGCTATAAAACTCTTCAGACAACTTCCGGGATTTGAATTTTAAGGTTGGGTTTCTTTTGTACGGATATCCCTGGTAACCATGTTATACTTCAACAGGGTACCAGTTCCTGTACGACCAAAAATGCACACCACTACAACACAATTATTTTCTGCAAAGTGCAAGACAAAAAGATTGAAACGAATAATAAACTCAAACCCGACATTTCTTTGTTTGGCTGACCTATTTTTTTTTGCACGTACGTTTTTATTTCCTTGAAACGCTATCAAAGAATGTATTCTATAAAATTATAGTATGCCCCAGTAAACACGACAGATGTTACAAATTGGGCATTGTTGTGAATTTGACTTGGCCTTCAAAATGAGACAAAAGTTTGTTATCCAGGATAAATAACACAATGCTTTCCCTGAAAACCGCAATCTAGTTTTTCCTTCTATTTTGGGTTATAATTGTGCAGGCCTTTTTTTGCCAGCTTTCTTCGCAAAACTACATTTTTTAATCTGATTTTTTTTAAACCAATTTTATTTCCTTGCATTGTGGTTCACACCTGTCGAGGACTTTGAAGGCGTCTTTGCAAAACTACATTATCTCAAGCCTAATTTTTTTTTTTTTTTTAAACCGATGTTTAGAAAAGGTTTCTAAATATATATTCGTAGGGCCTATTTCTGTCTGGTTTAGACATAACACAGAGCACGGGAGCGATTAAACAGCCAGCGTAGGTGTATCGATTTCAAAGGTTTAGATATTTTGCAGGTACCGTGCCAACTATTTCATGCCCATAGCTCAGGAAAATGGTATAGCCTTACATCAGAATGCCAGATTTTTGATATGCGATACTGAGAAATGAATGCAGGTCCAACGAATTCGTTGGCCCGCAGCTTCAGAGATATTTCTGATCGCGCTTATTTATTGTTTTTTGGGTTTTTTTTCATTTCGAGATTGGCAATAACATTGATTAGTTTGAGGTTTGATTGCAGTTAATTATTCAGCCAAAAAAACCTATTTTCATCGGACTTCTTGTTTGTTTTTGTTCTACATAATCTGATTTAAGCCACCAGAAGTTACATTCCAAATTTTTACCAAGAAACAGGAAAAAGAATTAAATCCAGACAGTTAAATAAAATTCAAATGAATAAATTGGCAATAAAGAGGTTGTGGAATGCTCGAAGACATTTCCGTCATTTTTCGGGTATATGTAGCCTAAGGTGTGATGAAATAAAAACGACTATTGTTTCTGTCATAAAATGAGTACAAAAGGTACTTTTGAGAGCTGTTTTTCAAGTCCTGTCATGCCTGTTTCGACCCGAACGTGCAATTTGTGTAAAAGTCGTCGTTGCGGGCAGCAAACAAAACACAGTAAATCTTGACGTAATAAACAGGACTCCCGATGCAGAGTAGCATATACGAGTCCTGTTTATTACGTCACGATTTATTGTGTTTTGTTTGCTGCCCGCAACGACGACTTTTACACAAATTGCACGTTCGGGTCGAAACAGGGCCTGAAAAATAGCTCTCAAAAGTACCTTTTGTACTCATTTCATGACAGAAACAATAGTCGTTTTTATTTCATCACACCTTAGGCTACATTTACCCCTAAAATTACGGAAATGTCTTCGAGCATTCCACAACCTCTTTAATTTTTAAACAAAGATTAAAAATCAACCTCAAAAATGGGTAATCAATTCGTGCTTGTTGTCTTTTTATACATTTTTGTCGAAATGCTTTGCAATTTTCCTTCACGTCTTCCCCAAAACAATGAATTTACTTTCAAAACATGTCATCTTCTTATGGCAATTTCTGTTTTTCAGTAATAAACAATGATCTTGAAGAGGACATCGGAAATGACCAACGAAGTATGGGACAAAGATTGAAATTCTACCATTCCTGATAAAAACTGTAAGCATCTTCTCTCAACGAGAAGAACAAATGAAGAAGAAAAAATGAAAAAAAAAAAAATCAAACGGTACAATTTTATCAACAGATTTATCCTATACACATTTACATTATCATTCTTATAGCATTTGGCACAGTAAATTATACATCTACACGGCATTCTGACTATACAGTTTGTACAAAATAAATTTCAAAACTAAGACAAGCTGTAGCTCAGAAATTCCGGGTTTTTTTTCCGGAACTTGATTTTTTATTCTTCTAAGTAACCCTAACCCCAAATTGGGCATTTTTTTACAACGAACATTCTTGAGCACTCCAAAGACCGACTGACAATGCGAATGCATTGAAGCCGCCGTCGGCCATCTTGGATAACCCTTGAATCATCCAAGGACTGGCAGACAATGTGAATGCATTGAAGCCACCGTCGCCATCTTGGATCACCCTTGAATCTTCCAAGGACTGGCAGACGATGCGAATGCATTGAAGCCACCGTCGCCATCTTGGATAACCCTCGAATCTTCCAAGGACTGGCAGACAATGTGAATGCATTGAAGCCACCGTCGGCCATCTTGGATAACCCTTGAATCCTCCAAGGACTGGCAGACAATGTGAATGCATTGAAGCCACCGTCGCCATCTTGGATAACCCTTGCATCTTCCAAGGACTGGCAGACAATGCAAATGCATTGAAGCCACCGTCGGCCATCTTGGATAACCCTTGAATCCTCCAAGGACTGGCAGACAATGCGAATGCATTGAAGCCATCGTCGGCCATCTTGGATAACCCTTGAATGCTCAAAGGACTGGCAGACAATGTGAATGCACTGAAGCTGCTGTCGGCCATCTTGGATCACCCAAGATGCACGCGCAGTAAATGCGAGGTTTTTTTGTCAGAGTTAAGGAAGGAAAAGTAAGAATTGCATTTTTCGGACTGGCTTCTGAGATTTAAACAAGCTTATTCCTAGAAAGGGCCAACATCCAAAGAATAATTTATAAGTAGTGGAATTCTTTTATGTGAGGGGGAAAATAAAACCTCAACTGCAGAATGTGATGGTATGGGGATCCAAGATGGTGGATCAGCTGCTTCAAGCCCATTGGCCAATGAGCGTGTTGCAGGCAGTCCAGTTAGTACAGAGGCCAGCGAAAGATGTACATGAAGTGGTATAGACACAAGACTCAGACAGCTCAACAGACTTGAACAAGTCTAGCAATACCACACCACAAAATGGCATTTGAAAAACACATACACGTACTGTGCATAACATTAATGCATTATTTCAGATGTTATATACACATACGTTTTATACAGAAACAATCAAATTGTTTGAATGCTACACTACTTTACATAATACATGGCCTTGAAGAACATTTTGAAGACAGCTCAGGAGAAAAATGTCAGTGGAGAGGTTTCAGATTTAAGCAAAGGGATAAAGCTGCAAAAGAGTCCAAATTCATATTGCCCAAAATTTTTGAGAATTTCAATTTTAGCAAAGTTGGAAATTATTTTAATAGTTTCGGCTTGATTAGAAGAAGTCCAGATACAACAGCAAATTATTGGAACGACCTTGTTTCATTGTCTGGAAAACTTGAACAAAATCTTGGACTTCATATTAGCACAGCAGATTAGTGATAAGATTGTGCCTTGGATGATACAAGCATGGCATTTGGCACACAGTCAAAGTATGTCATGAGAAAGATATGTGGCCATTGGTCATTGCAGATTTGTCCTTTGAAAAAAAATATACGTAGAATAACAAGGCATGGCAGCCATTTCAAAAATCTTCAAAATTGCTTGTTAATGTACCTATATTTTTTCAAAGGACAAATTTGCGATGGCCCTGTAGCCAAACATCTTACTTAAGACACACTCTGTGTGCCAAATTCCATGCTTGTATCGTCAAAGGCACAATTCCCCCAAATATTTCCCCTGTCTGCCCCACTATGTAATCTTTTGACAGTTTTAGAACTTGACACATTTCCGGTTCCACAAAGGAAAGCTCCCAGGATCCAGAGATTCCTAGTCATAATACTGCTGGTACAAGTTCCCCTTCCGAAATGTTCAGATCAAAATCTTATCCTTTCTCCCAAGTTCTGTCTAAGAGTGTCTTCGACCATGCCTTCCCAATGAAGCACATTCTAAAAAAGAGGGGCTGATGTCTTGCTCCCAACTTTCCAATAACTTGGGGGGGGGGGGTGGGGAATTCTGCCCCCCCCCCCTAAGATCTCGGCCATCGAGTGACGACAAATGTTGAAACTCGGTACATGCATAGAGCAACTCATCAGGAACATACCCAAGAAATTTCATGACTATAGGTCAAAGGGTTTTGGAATTATGGCTAATTAATTATTCATATGTACAAATAATAATTGTGCTCTGTGTACACGACGTATATGGTAAAGTTCAGTTTTCATGGCGCGTAGCATTGGAAAAGTTTTTGCTGCGCGGCAACCCCTCGTCCGATTTTATGTTTTTGGTTTCAAAAAGATGCGCAAGGCTCGAGGCTAAAAAGTCATAACAGCTCGGGTCGCGAAAACAAAAACATTTCAAGGCTATCGCGGAAAAAGTTGGCCCCCCCCCCCCCCCGGCCCTTTTAGGGTTAAAATCGCCATCCCGCAATGTACGTTACAGCAGCGTTCCACCGAAACAAACCGAATTTTAACTGGTTATCGCAATGTGTCCGCTGTTGATCAGTAAAAGCTGAAACTTTTTGAGTCCTTTTTGCAGCGAGTAGTGAGCGGGGAAGGGGGGGGGGGACTGGGAAAGCGAAAATTTCAAGTATGAAACGTATTCCTGCATTGGTGTCTCAATGCGACGCTCAAATAGACTCAGAGAGTGGATTCCGGTTCCTGGCCTCCTCCCGACGGTTGGGTATGTTGATGGCCTCGGAGTCCGGTACGTTGATGGCCTCCTTGGATATCGAGCGCGGCATCCGTGGGGACAGGGGCGGGGTGCTCGGGGGCGTGGACTGAGGGCTGGACATGCTCCGGGTGCGACCGATGATCTCGCTCAGTCGCAGCGGAACGGCTGGGAAAACAAAATAACGAAGAACAACGAAACGAGGTTTAGCGTCGGGAAATGAAATCGTTGAGCAGTTGTTTAATCAGTGGGGAGAAGTGAATACCGGTAAATTTTTTCTTGTCCTGTCCAATCAGCTTCCTGGCCTGCCGAGCTCATCACTGACTGCTTACGTCTCCAGTCATCTTGAGACGTTCCTGTTTCTTTTGAAAGGCCAAGAGAGCTGCAAGACAAGATGAGATGCGAACAACGGGGGACAAGGGGCAGGGCAAGGCAGATCTTCCTTGGTACAACAGAGAGCAACAGATAGGCAGGACCATCTGAGGCGATACAGTGACTTAGAAATGTCTTCCAAAGACGCGAGAAATAAACTTAAGACAGCTTGAACCATTACATGTTGCAGCTGGCACGATTCGCAGGGGCGCTGTGGCCCAATGGTTACGGTGCTCGACATTCGTGCCACGGTGCTTGGGTTCGAACCCCGACAGGGAAACATGGTGCTTGTGTTCTTGGGCAAGACACTTACTACAATTGCCTCTCTCCACCCAGGAGTTTAAATGGGCACTTGTGAAGGAAGAAACCAGATTGCGCTGATCTCGAGCTGCTGCAGAAAATGGTCTTATTGCCTGATTAACGGGGGTAAATGAAAGGGTATCACGGTGCTTGTGTTTCTGGGCAAGACACTTTACTACAATTGCCTCTCTCCACCCAGGAGTATGTATGTTAATGGGTGCCTGAAGGAGTTCAGATTGCGCTGATCTCGAGCTGCTGCGGAGACTGATCTCACAGCCTGATGAACAGGGGTAATAATTGTGAAGCCCTTTGAGAGGTTCTTGCTACACCGGGCTAATAATAATCATAATTTGGGAGGCTAATCATCCTTACTCGCAGCTGGGATGCTGAATTGCGAAGGACGCGGCTACAACGTGGTCGGGCCACTGGCACGTAAAGGCGCCTATGGCTGCCGGCCACATCGACCCATATATGACCACGGAGCACAGCCTGAGATCAAAAGTGTTTGATTTTTTTTAGCACCATATTATTGTTATTTTTTTACAACAGTAAGTGGACTAAAAAAAATTATCTGAAGAGCTAAGCTTCTTACTTGTGATCAAGTGAGCGAACGTGTTAGATCTGGCATGATCCACGGGGGGCAAGATGGGGGGCGAGACGGGGGGCGAGACGGGGGGCGATTGAGGGGTTTGCTGGGCATTGCCGGCCTGTTGCATCTTGGCCTCGCGAGCGTGCTGTTTCTGGAGCTGGTTCAGACGACGGAGGCTGTCCGGAGCCACGAAGCATCCACCGGGTATAGTCGACATGATGGCTTGAAGGTTGTCGGTTTTTCTTCGGTGTCTAGGGAAAACGGAGGTCTTGTGCTGGAAGATAAACACAAGCCGGGACCTGCGGGAAAAAGAAACGAAGGAAAACAGTCAGTGAATGAAGATCTGTGATTGGTTAACTGCTAGCTGGAAAGGAAATCAGGCTAGTGACGGGAGAAATCAGAGATTTCAAAATCAGTTGTCTCATTTTTTTTTCCTTTCACACTTAAACACGGCAATCCGATCACACCAGAAGTTCCCACTCAGTTCATCATCATCAGACGTCGTAGGCTACTGTCTGTTGACGCAACAACCGTCCACTTCTTCTGAGTTGTGTGGCTGGTGCAGGGGTGATTTTGAGTCGGTGCAGTGCTGCAGCAGTTAGTTCAGCAAAGGTGAGGCCACTCCACTTGGTGAGGCCGTCGATCCAACGGAGTTTGGGTTGCCGATACCGCGACGGTTTCCAAGTGGAGTTCCATTGAGCACTGCCGCGTCAAGACCACCCTGTCGTACTGCATGACCAAGCCAAGCGGCTTTCTGTTCTAGGATTGTGTCGGCTCAGTCCAACCAAAGAATGACAAGTGAGGTGCCGCATGCAACCTCTCTGTGCTGATTGGGTATGATTAGCGGGATTCAATGTCCATGGGCACCAAAAAAATAAAACACTCCAGAGCTGGCCGTTAAAAAAAATATGGGTGAGCGCTCTGATCAGTCGAATGAGCAAGCTATAAGCTGCTAGTGAGTGAATAGAGTTAAAATTCAGAAACCGTGGAACAAATTTTGGGATGTACATACATAGCGTTGTCCTCTTACGCTACAATTGTGTTACAAAAAACTGGTATTTAAATGCATGCGGGTGATCAATTTCACAGCATAGCACATGTGTGTGTGTATCATGTACATGTACATTACATGAACCAGTATGTACATGTATAGTCACAGTGGTTTATTTCATATTGATTAATGTACAAGTACCGGTAGGCCCACTGGTATGCATGTATAATGCCCTTTTGTATGTAAAGACTTATTGTCCTTTGTTCATTGTATTTGATAAGACGCTAGCTTCTTTTGGTTAATGAATAATAAATGCGATCGACGCTTTCAATTCGCCGGCTCATTGAGGATTCATACCACATGGGCTGTTCACAGCACAACTGCAATACATGTCGTCTGCCATGTCATCTATAGGTGATGGTTCACTATATGACGCATTCACGCAGATAAGGGGGCACAAATGAAAAAAATATCTCACAAAATAATCAGCAGAGGGTTTGGGTCTCCGAGATTCCCAGGGCAACAGGGTCTACATGTATGTGATATGTTTGTATAATTTGCCTAAAACCACCCCTAAACCCTAACCCCCTAGTACCCGTACAGGCATGCAACTGCAAATTTAGAAAAAAAACGAGGAAATCCAAAACACACAAGACTTTGTACAGTGTTTTTCTATTTGTAATGGCATTCATGAGAAGTCAAAAACAAGGAAATCAGCGGATCCGGGGAAAAGTTGCACGCCTGACCGGTAGTTCCCCAGGACTAACCTTCTAAATCCAACAGAGTCTGACGGTTACTCATATGAGTTTCCTGCTCAATCCAATACAGTCCCACACAATCCAACTTGCAAAGTTGTTGGCTACCTGAACATATAAAATGACTGGCATGCTCAATCCAACAGAATCCAACAGGGCCTTGTTTTTCTGTTTGCTGCTGGATCCAACAGAGTCCAACTTGGCATTGTTTACCAGTACCCAACAGAATCTGACGCTGAATGTTTTCAGTTGCCTGCTGAATCCAACAGATTTCAACGGGAATACAAGGGGTTTACAATCCAACAAAAATCCAACTGATAAAACAGTTGGACCATGTTGGATTGAGAAGGGTTAGGGTTAATATACCCATTACTTTTCTTCTGCAATCTCAGGAATTCTCAGGTAAAATCTCAGCAATTCCAGATTTCAAGTGCAATTTAAAAAAAAAAAAATCTTCGAATTAGGAAAAATCCTAACAAATCTCATCCCTAGGTACATGTATGTAAGAGACGTCCTTACAATGTTGACAAGAGATCTCACAAATATTTTGAGATATTTCGATATTTCAAATATTTCGATATGGTGAATATTCAGAGTTTGAAAAAACGAAGGTTGCATGTACTTATGTAAATCTGGTGTTTCTGAATGAGTTATTCAAAAAAGCTTTATCGACTTGTAAATAGCTTTTTTTCCCACGTGCTGCATCTCTTTGGAATTCCTTGCCTGGTGTTTGTCTCCCTCCAACCTATGATCTGTCCTGTTTCAAGAGGAATGTCAATTCCTACCTGCAGCTTTTCCTGAGTACCTACTCTTCGTTTTATCTCTCTTTTTGCCCTGTACCTGGAGTGGCTTTTAGTCTTGTTCAGGGCAAATATGCTTGAAGAAAAAAAAAAAGAAAAAAAAACAAGCTGGACGTGAAAGAAGGGTTCTCAAAGGTTGCATAAAAAAGTGAAAAGCAAATTGTCAAATTCATGAATTGGCAAACACAATTCACGACATCATAGAATTTTTTTGAAATACTTTCAAAAATGTCTTGACAATTTTTTTTTTTTGAATTCCGGAAAAAGTGAAGCACTTTTCGAATTCTGATGGGAATTTAACCCTTATAAGTTAATCCTCCTGCTGTCTGAACAGTCACAGACAGTCACACAAATCAATCCTCTTCCCCTGCCATGCCTTTTACACAGGCTAGTCACCAACAGTCAGATCATATTTCAAGCAAGCACTGTGACTAGTCAAACTCAGTCAACCGACAAAAGCAGGCAAGTGGTAGGCACAGCTGGCTTATCAATCACCTACAGTCAAAGCACAGCTATATCAAGTTACATAAACAGTCCCAGCCAGTCAATCCTGCTTTATGTACCGGTAGGCTGGGAGCTCTTAACTGTTAAAAACAGTCACTTGACTGATTTTGACTGAAAGGACAACTTTGCACAGTGTGTATGGGAGGGTTAATATTATAAATATCAAAGCTAACAAAAACTGTGAAGGGGGAAACCCAAATAAGTAAAAATATTTTAAATTTTGTTAAAAAGAAACTACACACATGTATGTAAAAAGCTTATACGATTGATTTACAAAAATTACAGATTGAACTTAATTTAAAATTATATCCAACCCCCAAATTTCGCAATGTCCAAAGCAATTATTTACTTTTAATCACTGAATCAATTTGCGAGGCCACTGTCCCATTCACCACCACGTGATTAATGAGTAAACCGACGACAGAGTCCAGCAAACAGTTCAAGTCCGGTCAACGCAATATCCTTCAAATTGCTGAACCTTGGCCATACATGTACATGTTTGCAAATGGCCTACGTGCGTTTCGGCGCGATTAACAAACGAAACGGACTTTGAGTTGTCAAAATGACGCATCATCAACCGAGGCCATTCGACATGTGACTAACGAGAAACACGTACGCACACTTGAAACCCTCAGCTCACGGCACTTTACCGTAAAACAATTTCCTTCGAAATTTTTATTCATTTGCATAGAATCCTCAGGTGCCTAGATTTGTAACGACTACACAACTCCCTTCTTGAAGGGAATGTACAACATTTGCTTTTGCCGCAATTTTCAGAAATAAGTGGATTTGGAGAGTTAGCATGTTATAACAACTATCGTTAAAATGACTTGTTTCAAGTTTTGGGCTTGCAGATGCTGGAAAAACCAAGAAAACCAATCATGTTCTTGTAGTCTGTTCCCTGACCCCACTTAAGATGAAACAGAGCAATTTATAGACTTTTGGCAATTGTAAAGTCAAAGAATCAGTCTAGCAGGCTTGTACAAATGCACCCCTTCACAGGTGTGTAATCAATTGCAAAGAAAATGGGGAATAACTAATTATGAAAAATTACTGGTAGCAGCAGTTTTGGGGGGAAAAAAGCCAGTTTTCTCCAATGCTGGTCGGCCGACCAGCATTGGAGAAATACCATTTTTCTTGAAAATGTCAGCACACCAGGATCCACGATTTTACAGGATGCTTTAGACTGTCATTCCCCAACAATCTAGTAAGGTATTTCGTGATAATTTGATCATTTCGTTTTGTGATGTTTGAAAATGTTGTATCTTCCCTTTAATGTTGAAAAATGAGACCGAAGTCCTTATTTTTTTTACACACATTTGCCATACATTTAGAAAATGAAACAAGATAATTTTTTGAAATGGCCTCACATACTGGTGACCCGAGTTTGACCTAAGATATGCGTCATATTAAGCAAACATACATTGTATTGACATTGACAATACAAATGTGTGAGTTCAGATGTGCCTATTATTTTTATAATACAATACCGTACTCAAGAACAAAAAAAATGATTGGGATGAGGACATCAACACTGAACAATTTAATTCCAATAAAAAAGGACAACTTTTTGGTGAAATTACTGAGGAAATGTTACTGGGTTGTTTCTACAGGGCGAGTCCAAAAAAGGTACATGTATGTAAACCCACATGACACGTCCCCTTTTTTGTGAAGAGAAGTTCTCATGTACATGTAGCGGCGTTCAAGATTTACAAGTGTAGGATGTAAAAGCCAAATTAAGCTATAATTTAGTAACAGAATCTTTCACATCACTCATGTACTTTTCAAGTTATGGACTTTTTAAACACAAACACAGTTTTATAATTTTGTTCACGAATCACAATAAAGGTAAGTGATATTTCAGCAAAAACAAGGTTAACCGAAACTCACAACTTTGATCGACTTTTCCACCAGACACATCTATAAGCAGATTGAAGCCAACATGTCGATGGACTTGACGAAAATGACCAACTCACACAAACTCAAATTCTTACATGTAAATCAACTTACCGATATATTGAAACTACAGTGGAACGCCCCTATAACGCGTATCGCACGATCCACAGGAATTGTTCGTAATAGCGATCAGTCGGTAAAGTGATTTTAAGCTGCCGGTGCTCCGGTACTCACTTTTCAATAAATAGCCCCTTCAGAACTTCACCCTGCACGCCCTGGTAGTTACTGAAAGATGACTTCGAACACGTGCCGACTATTGAATTAAGATTACAGTTTTTGAGCTTACTATCTAT